TTCCAGCCCTGTGGGAGGAGGGGTGTGTGCAGCCCAGCCCTCGCCTGACTGGGCTAAAGCAGCTCAGAGCTCACCCTGCTCACAGAAGCCATGGGCAGGATGAGGAAGGAGGCTCGTGGAGTGCTGCTTTTGGTGAGGAATGCTGCTGGGGAATGGGTGCTGTCCATCAGCCTGACTGATCCCCACGTTAAACCTTCCAGGTGAGGTGTGGAGGACAAGGTTCCCTGACAGAATCCAGCAGCAGTGGGGATGTGGCAAGGCTCCTGATAAAGGAACCAGCAGGTCAGAGCTGGTGCCTTACTTCCCTGCACAGCCCTGGGGACAGTGAGGTTGGGTAGGAAATTAGGGGGAAAGGAATATGAGACTAATTTGGGATGCAGGTGAGGGAGTCCAGGTCGAGGCTTGCAGGAGTTCCTGCCCCAGAGGCAGGGGATGGTGCCCAGAGGGTCCCTGCACCCCGTGGGGAGCTGGGCCCAGGGCCAGCCCTGCTCCAAACATCCCAGTGCTCAGCAGACAACTTGACAAATTTGGTTTAACTGTTTTGATGTAATAATGTAATTAGGTAAAAGGGTTCAGCAACCAATTGCATTTCACTAATTTCAACCATCTGCTTCAGCACTTGTTCTGTGTGTGCCAGACTTCAGTGTCTTTGCTCTAATAGTAATTAATGAAACTGTTAATAAGCTACATATATCATACTATGCTGCAATAATTTATCAAAGGATAATGTTATGAGACAAATTCTATATAACAATTATAGAAAATGGCTTACATTACTAATGCTGCACACTGCTCACTAGTTTCTTTACTCTTCCCTTCTTAATGAATTCCCTAATTAATTTAATGCATACGTTATGCATAATTTGAAATTTAAAAACATCGCTGGGTCAGGTTTTAACCATCCTCTTTTACATGCTGTCTGCTTCTACAAGACACATATTAGCAAAACATGACCTCTATGCAAATCAGGGTGCCCGCTGCTGTTCCCATTCCCGGTGACAACAGCGGCACTCGGGCCCGCTCCTGTGCCAGGGCATGGAGTGCCACAGAGTCACCAGAGGCACCACCTACAGCCAAACCCAGCCAGCAGCAGCTCTCCCAGTCTCTGGCTGTGTCACCAGCCCTGTTTTGGGGAGAGCTGCCCTCAATCACACATGGTGCACACAGCCCTCGAACACCGGGGCCTCGCTGCTGTCACCCGGCCCGGGATAACGAGGTCACTGAAAAATCCAGAAACCTTCCAAAATAGAAATGTGAACCTTAGTGTCTTCAGATTTCTAAGCATCCAGCACACAATTGCACAGTATTCCCCAGCTTTCTGCCTGTGCAGCTTCGCGGTTTTCCTGCAGAACATGACCACAAGCTCTTCTTCCAAAGTTTCCATTTTCATTCCCATCTGACTTCCAGAACAGCACCAAACACCCCAGCGGGACAAGGTACTCCAGCTTCAGTGTTTCCTTCAGTGGGACAGTGGAAGGTGTCCCTGCCCTAGGCAGGGGGTGGAACTGGATGAGCTTTAAGGTCCCTTGCAACCCAAACCATTCTGAGATTCTTGTGCTCCACGGATGAAATACAATTTACCAAGCTAGCCAGGCTTTGGCAAGACATCATTCCCTCACTAATTCTTTTCAGACAATATATTATTTACATTGCTAAGATATTATACAGAGACCCAGACTGGGTTTTATTAACATTTCCTTATCTTGTGGGACACTTCTGGCTGAAAAAGTGTTGAGTTTTCATCTTCAAGCAAGCTTGCTCCCGCGCTTTTCCATCTGACGCGTCAGATTATTTTAATGATGGAGTACTTGATTAAATTAATTCCTCCCTACAAAAGCAGCTGTCTTGTGTCATGGAATGGAATCTGTTCAGCTATCTGGAACGTTTGTACTTGCCAGGGAGGGGAGCCAAGGCGCAGAGTGCGAGGAGGGAGTGTCTGACCATGCCGAGACTTTGTCACAACGCGTAAGGCTGAGGCTCAGCATGCAGCTCGGGTGTCCCCCTGCCCTAGCAGGGCTGGATCCTGTGCCCAGGGATCGGGGAAGAGGCTGCTGGCCTGGCGCCCTGGCAGAGGAGACACTTCCAGCAGCTCCAGGGCTCCCTGTGTGGGTGCTGAGCCCCGCTGTGCCCGCGGCTGAACCCCAAAACACAGCCCTGGGGTGTGCTGGCAGGGCCCAGCAGTGGGGACCCAGCCGTGCCCAAGGGAGGGTCAGCACCAGCAAGGGGAAAAACAAATGAAAATGGGAAAATTGTGCCAGCATGGTGAACGAAGCACAGACCGTGTGCGTCAAACTTTTATTTCTAAACAAACAGAATTGTTCCATTTAAGTTCATCTCTTGCTTACTCTCAAGCTGCTGCTCATTTTTATTTCCCTTTAGAGAATTTTTGCAACCTTATCCTTCCCTCCTGCTTACTGAGAGTCTCCAAGCACCATCCACACATGCAAATCCTCGGGAATCAGAACTGCCTGCCACGTCTGAAGGAGTTTGCTTGGCAAAGAAAAGCCTTGGAAAAACAACAGCATGGCCATTTCCTTTCTTTTCCATCACACAATGTAACCATAGGCTGGGTTTTGATACTACTAGCTTTTTGAAGTATGAATATTAATGTATTTTTTCCCACTGATTTCTTTTCAATATTCATATCCACTGGCAGTAGGTTGGAGCCCTTTATTTAACAAAATCTCCTGCTTTAGGATTTGAAATACAGTGCATTGCTATTGAATTTATTAATACCAGCAGAACTTGAGGAGAGTTTAAGCTAAGTTTAGTAAAGCTGCAAAATACCAGCTCAGGCTTTTTTTCTTTCACTTCAGTGTCTGTACCCTGAGTTCTTGGGACAGGTTCTCTGGTGGCTCACCACATGTCCCCTGCATGACCCAGCAGCAGCCAAGCCCAGGGGATTGACACCTGGAGGTCAGCCCATGGCTGCAGCCACTCAGGCCAGGCTCGTGGGGCTGCCTGGTGTGTTCTTAGGATGCCCTGCACACCTGAGCTCCCAGGTGGAGCACCTGGGGCCAGCAGGCAGCACAGCCCTCAGCCGCCAGCACTGCCAGGAGAGCCGGCAGAGATGGCACTGCCAGCACAGCTGGGACTGCCAGGACAGCCAGGAGAGCCAGCAGAGATGGCACTGCCAGCACAGCTGGGACAGCCAGCACAGCCAGGAGAGCCAGCAGAGATGGCACTGCCAGCACAGCCAGGACAGCCAGCACAGCCAGCAGAGCCGGCAGAGATGGCACTGCCAGCACAGCCAGGACAGCCAGCACAGCCAGCACAGCCAGGACAGCCAGGACAGCCAGGAGAGATGGCACTGCCAGCACAGCCAGCACAGCCAGGACAGCCAGGAGAGCCAGCAGAGATGGCACTGCCAGCACAGCTGGGACAGCCAGGACAGCCAGGACAGCTGGGACAGCCAGCAGAGCCAGCAGAGATGGCACTGCCAGCACAGCCAGGACAGCCAGCACAGCCAGCACAGCCAGGACAGCCAGGACAGCCAGGAGAGATGGCACTGCCAGCACAGCCAGCACAGCCAGGACAGCCAGGAGAGCCAGCAGAGATGGCACTGCCAGCACAGCTGGGACAGCCAGGACAGCCAGGACAGCTGGGACAGCCAGCAGAGCCAGCAGAGATGGCACTGCCAGCACAGCCAGGACAGCCAGCACAGCCAGCACAGCCAGGACAGCCAGGACAGCCAGCAGAGATGGCACTGCCAGCACAGCTGGGACAGCCAGGACAGCCAGCACAGCCAGCACAGCCAGGACAGCCAGCAGAGATGGCACTGCCAGCACAGCCAGCACAGCCAGGACAGCCAGGAGAGCCAGCAGAGATGGCACTGCCAGCACAGCTGGGACAGCCAGCATAGCCAGGACAGCCAGGACAGACAGCAGAGATGGCACTGCCAGCACAGCTGGGACAGCCAGGACAGCCAGCACAGCCAGCACAGCCAGCACAGCCAGGACAGCCAGGAGAGATGGCATTGCCAGCACAGCCAGCACAGCTGGGACAGCCAGGACAGCCAGCACAGCCAGCACAGCCAGGACAGCCAGCAGAGATGGCACTGCCAGCACAGCCAGCACAGCCAGGACAGCCAGGAGAGCCAGCAGAGATGGCACTGCCAGCACAGCTGGGACAGCCAGCATAGCCAGGACAGCCAGGACAGACAGCAGAGATGGCACTGCCAGCACAGCTGGGACAGCCGGGACAGCCAGCACAGCCAGCACAGCCAGGACAGCCAGGACAGCCAGGAGAGATGGCATTGCCAGCACAGCCAGCACAGCCAGGACAGCCACAATAGCCGGCACAGCCAGCACAGCCAGTGCAGCCTGGCCTGCCAGGACAGCCAGCACACATGGCACAGCTGGCACAGCCAGGACAGGTGGCACATCCAGAGCAGCGAGCACCCTGCCAGCAAAGCCTGCCACGTTCCAGCCTGCCGGAGCAGGAGCACGAACAGGAGCAGGAGGGTGGTTCCTCGCTGGCTCCTTCCTTGGCGTTGTCCGGCTCAGCCCACCGGAGGCTGCCGTGCTCGCCAGCGTGGCTCCCGTGCCCTGTAATTGAGCGGGATGTGGAACACACCCACGTCCTCTGCAGCGGCTCAACCACCGAGCGCCGCGCCAGCTGCCACGTGGAGCGGGGACACGGCTCCGCCGAGCCACGGCCCCTCCGCCCCCGGCGGGGACCCCCAGACACAGCCAGGACAGAGACACCCCATGCCGGGCTGTGCCCCCAGCCCCATCTCTGATCCCCGGGCTGTGCCCCCATCCCCATCTCTGATCCCCGGGCTGTGCCCCCAGCCACACCAGCCGTTCCCCGAGCTGTCTCCCCCACGCACAGCCCCGCTCCTCCCGGGATGTCCCGCCGGGGCCGGGCGGATCCTCGGCTCGGGTTCCAGGGCGGGCGGATCCCGGGCGGGTTGGGGCGGGCCGGCCGCGTCCCGGCCCCGTGCCCGGCCCCGTGCCCGCCTCCCGCGCCGCTGGCCCGGCGGCTCCTGCCCGCCCGGGATGAGCGGGCTGCGGCGGCTGTTCCGCGGCAGCGGGCGGGCCCTGGCCCTCGTGTTCGCCGCCTCGGTGGCCTGGCTGCTGCTCGACATGGCCGCGCTCCGCCTCTCGCTCGGCGAGGCGGGCGGGCGGCTGCTGCGGGAGGCGGCGGGGCGCGGGCCGGGGCCGGGGCCGGGGCCGGGGTTGGGGCTGGGGATGGGGCTGGGGATGGGGCCGGGGATGCGGATGGGGCCGGGGATGCGGATGGGGATGGGGCGGGCGCGGCCCCGGCGCGGCCCCGGGGCGCCGGCGAAGGCAGCGGCGGAGCCGGGAGCAGCCCCCGGGGGCCCGGGGCCATCGCCGCCGCCCCAGCCCCCGGGCCCCGTTGGCGGGACGGGCTCGGCGCTGCCCGGAGCCCCCGGCAGCGAGCAGCGCCCCTCCGGCACGGCGGCACCGAGCGGCCCCGCAGCCCAGCCTGGAGCACGGGACACCGACACGGGACGCGGAGAAACTCCCTCCGAAACTCGCTTCATCCTCATTAGCAAAGAGGGGGTGAACCTCGCCGGCCCCGCAGCCCCGCGCCGTGGGCACCACTCTGCGGGCAACGCCACAGGGAGACGTGGAAAGCACAGAGAACTTGCTGAAAAAAGCAGTGACCGTGCACACGCTGCGACTGCCACTGCTGGGGCCACTGCCGGGGCTGGCCGGAGCCGGACGCTGGGGACGACACCAGGAGCAGCCCCTGGAGCGGCTGGCACTGGCCAGGATGAGCAGCAGCAGCGGGGAGCAGCTCCTGGAGCAGCTGGCACTGAACAGGATGGGGAGGAACAGCGGGGAGCAGCCCCTGGAGCGGCTGGCACTGGCCAGGATGAGCAGGAACAGCGGGGAGCAGCTCCTGGAGCGGCTGGCACTGACCAGGATGAGCAGGAACAGCAGGGAGCAGCTCCTGGAGCAGCTGGCACTGGCCGGGATATGCAGGAGCAAAGGGGAGCAGCTCCTGGAGCGGCTGGCACTGGCCGGGATGGGCAGGAACAGCGGGGAGCAGCTCCTGGAGCAGCTGGCACTGACCAGGATGGGGAGGAACAGCGGGGAGCAGCTCCTGGAGCAGCTGGCACTGGCCGGGATATGCAGGAGCAAAGGGGAGCAGCTCCTGGAGCAGCTCCTGGAGCGGCTGGCACTGGCCAGGATGTGCATGAGCAAGGGGGAGCAGTTCCTACAGCAGCTGGCACTGGCCAGGATGGGCAGGAACAGCAGGGAACAGCTCCTGGAGCAGCTCCTGCAGTGGCTGGCACTGGCCAGGATCAGCAGGATCAGCAGGGAGCAGCTCCTGCAGTGGCTGGCACTGTCTGGGATGGGCAGGAGCAGAGGGGAGCAGCTCCTGGAACAAATGGCACTGGCCAGGATGGGCAGGAACAAGCAGGGAGCAGCCCAGGGATGCACAGAGTCCTGTCCATGGATGCAACGCTCGCCCCAAGAGACCCCCGAGCTCCTGGCCAGTTTGGACACCCTGTTGCTGTCCCTGATGACAAACAAGAAGAAGCAAAAAGTAGATGGAAAGAAGGAAACTTCAATGTCTACCTCAGCGACCTGATCCCTGTGGATCGAGCCATCGCAGACACCAGGCCTGCCGGGTAAGATCTGCTCCCCTTGCACAAAGGCTCTGTGGCTCTGGGCAGGGCTGCTGGGGGCACAGCAAGCCCTCCACTTCAGCCGTGCTACCTGTCAGATGGCTGTTGCCCGTCCAGCTCAGAGCAGCCTGTTGTTAAACATAAAACTCGGTACAGTTTGCAGGTTGTAACCCACTGAGCCCAGCTGCCCAAGGGGCCAGGACAGCCAGCACAGGGGATGGGCTCAGGCCTCTCTGTGCCTTGGGACGCTGTACCTGGTAGGTCAGGTGCAGCTGTGATTGCCTGGTGTGTCAGGTGCTGCTCTGGTTACCTGGTGTGTCAGGTGCTGCTCTGGTTACCTGGTGTGTCAGGTGCAGCTGTGATTGCCTGGTGTGTCAGGTGCTGCTCTGATAACCTGGTGTGTCAGGTGCAGCTCTGATTGCCTGGTGTGTCAGGTGCAGCTGTGATTGCCTGGTGTGTCAGGTGCTGCTCTGGTTACCTGGTGTGTCAGGTGCTGCTCTGATAACCTGGTGTGTCAGGTGCAGCTCTGGTTACCTGGTGTGTCAAGTGCTGCTCTGATAACCTGGTGTGTCAGGTGCAGCTGTGATTGCCTGGTGTGTCAGGTGCAGCTCTGATAGCCTGGTGTGTCAGGTGCAGCTGTGATTGCCTGGTGTGTCAGGTGCAGCTCTGATAGCCTGGTGTGTCAGGTGCAGCTCTGGTTACCTGGTGTGTCAGGTGCTGCTCTGGTTACCTGGTGTGTCAGGTGCAGCTCTGGTTACCTGGTGGGTCAGGTGCAGCTGTGATAACCTGGTGTGTCAGGTGCTGCTCTGGTTACCTGGTGTGTCAGGTGCAGCTCTGATAGCCTGGTGTGTCAGGTGCAGCTCTGATAGCCTGGTGTGTCAGGTGCAGCTCTGATAACCTGGTGGGTCAGGTGCAGCTCTGGTTACCTGGTGGGTCAGGTGCTGCTCTGATAACCTGGGGTGTCAGGTGCTGCTCTGGTTACCTGGTGTGTCAGGTGCTGCTCTGATAACCTGGTGTGTCAGGTGCTGCTCTGGTTACCTGGTGTGTCAGGTGCTGCTCTGGTTACCTGGTGGGTCAGGTGCTGCTCTGATAACCTGGTGTGTCAGGTGCAGCTCTGAGCAGTCAGAATTCAGTGTTGGTTCCAGCTCAGGTGAATGCCAGGTTCCTCTCTTGCACTCAGCCCTTCCTGCAAACACCTCTGAGTCCCTGGGAAGGTGGCAGGCCTGCCCCGTGCAGAGACCCCCCATGTCCCTGTTCCCCCCGTCACAGACCGGGGTATGGAGGGCTGGGCATTGTGCCACGATTGTCCCCACAGCACCGTGCAGACATTGCCACCGTGCTGGTGGCGCTGCCCGAGGTGAGACCCGCACAGCAGGAGTGGAGCAGGGACAGGGAGACGGCTGGGGCTGCTTCCTGGGGCCACCTGCAGAAGCCTCCTGAGCAGGGGACCCGGGCCCCGGTGTCACAAAGGCAGCCCCGGGTCTGTGCGAGCTGCCGGGCAGGAACCGCCTCCAGCAGTGAGTGACACACCTGGCCCGGAGGGGACCTGGGCTGTCCTGGGAACGCCTTGGGCACACAGGGCTGTGAGCTGCTGTCCTGGGAATGCCTTGGGCACACAGGGGTCTGAGCTGCTGTCCTGGGAACGCCTTGGGCACACAGGGGTCTGAGCTGCTGTCCTGGGAATGCCTTGGGCACACAGGGGTCTGAGCTGCTGTCCTGGGAATGCCTTGGGCACACAGGGGTCTGAGCTGCTGTCCTGGGAACGCCTTGGGCACACAGGGATGTGAGCTGCTGTCCTGGGAACTCCCTGGGCACACAGGGGTCTGAGCTGCTGTCCTGGGAACTCCCTGGGCACACAGGGGTCTGAGCTGCTGTCCTGGGAATGCCTTGGGCACACAGGGGTCTGAGCTGCTGTCCTGGGGACTCCCTGGGCACACAGGGGTCTGAGCTGCTGTCCTGGGAATGCATTGGGCACACAGGGCTGGGAGCTGCTGTCCTGGGAGCGCCTTGGGCACACAGGGATATGAGCTGCTGTCCTGGGAACTCCCTGGGCACACAGGGGTCTGAGCTGCTGTCCTAGGAACGCCTTGGGCAAACAGGGATGTGAGCTGCTGCCTCAGGGCACGGAGCTGCCCTGGGCACCCTGCTTCTGGCAGGAGCCTGTGCAAGCTCTGTCACCAGCCCGCTGGCACAACCAGGTTGTAAGGGCCAGCTCAGGGAAGGGGCTGGTGGCAGCTCTTGGCAGCCAATAATTTTTTTTGGGTGTGTATTCCAGTCTGTCCCAATTTAGACTCCAGTTCCTGTTGTGGTTCTGCCTGGAGTACTGCACTGGGCACTCAAATCTGGCCAATCCATGGCTCCCTGTGCTCAGTGCCTGCTGCCTTTGCAGCTTCACTGGCAGTGCTGAACTCATGGGCCCTGTGTCCCTGCAGCTGGTGTGGGGAGGGAGCCCTGGGGAGGGGAGTGGGGGGCAGGAGGGTTGTGGGGAGCATCCCATGCAGAGCCCGGATCAGGAGTCCTGGGGCTGAGGGAAAAAGGGAAGAGAAGGCTCCAGGGAGACCTCAGAGCCCCTTCCAGTGCATGAGGGCTCCAAGAGATGTGAAGAGGGACTTTGGGGAAGGGTCTGGAGTGCCAGGACAAGGAGCAGTGGTTTCCCACTCCCAGGGGCAGGGATGGATGAGATATTGGGAGGGAATTCTTCCCTGTGAGGGTGGGGAGGCCCTGGCACAGGGTGCCCTGACAAGCTGTGACTGCCCCATCCCTGGAAGCTTGAGGCCAGGCTGGATGGGGTTCTGAGCAGCCTGGTTTAGGGGAAGGTGTCCCTGCCATGGGAGCTGTTGGAAGGAGATGGGCTTTGAGTTCCCTTCCAACCCAAACAATTCCAGGATTCTCTAGTGGAGGACAAAGGGGGCATGACCCAGTTCTGCTCACCAGCTGCCCAGCAAGGTGAGGCAGGGCTGGATCCAAAATGGACTTTCTGGTGTTTTCTGCCCACTGACCTCCCTGAGACAGAAAGACACATCTCGAGGATTGTGACACGGAGTAATTCTGGGGTGAATTTCACTTAGCCAGAGCACTTCTGATTAACTGCGAAGCCCTGAAGTACCTCTGAATTCCCTTCAGTGTCAGAACCAAGTGAGTCCATCCAGTCCCATGGGGCTGCGCATGCGGGGGGCCCTGGGGCCGTGCGTGGGGTCCCCCCTCTCCCTGTGTTCCCCTCCCAGCACTGCAGGGCTTTCCCTCCGCGTGTCGCGTCGGGCGTTCTCCCTTTCCCCACAGGTTTTCCCGGGAACACCGTGCCTGGCCATCACCTGTGGGCCCGTGTTGCCGTTGCAGGTGCTCTGAGCAGCAGGTCCACGACGACCTGCCGACCACCAGCGTCATCATGTGCTTTGTGGACGAGGTGTGGTCGGCCCTGCTGCGCTCCGTGCACAGCGTGCTCAGCCGCTCTCCCCCGCGCCTCCTCGAGGAGATCATCCTGGTGGACGACTGCAGCACCAAGGGTAGGGGAAGCCTCTCTGCCTTATGGAGCTAATGTAACTTGGGGGCAAAATGCCATTTGTCCGCTGTAATTCAATTCCAAGTAGGAGAGAAATCACATTTTCTCCTTCCGCTGTATTGAAGCGCCTCCCTGGCCTGTGCTGGGGCTGAGGGTGATCAGAGGGCAGGGGGTGCTGGGGCTGGCTCTGGGGGAGGAAGGAGGGGGCTGCCAGAGGCTCCAGGAGCACCAGGGAGCTGGGTCTTGCCCAGCCCATTCGTCTTTGGAGCATCCTGGCTCAAGGGCTTGTGCAATCAGATGCTCCCAGCCCCGAGTGTGCAGCTCCCAGTGCAGGGGACACACTCTGGGGTGGCCCAGAGGGCAGGCAGCTGCAGTGGGAGCAGTGCTGAGCCAAGATCTGTGCTGCACAGGGCCCTCCATCGCCATTCCAGCTGGTACCCAGCCCCTGCAGTGATGTCCTGCACTCTCTGCTGGGCTCAGCCCTCCAAAATCAAGCAGTGTGCTGGTGTTCACCGGGGTCCAAGGATGAGGGAAGAGATGAGGATCTGACTCCATGTTTCAGAAGGCTTGATTTATTATTTTATTATATATATTATATTAAAACGATACTAAAAGAATAGAAGAAAGGATTTCATCAGAAGGCTGGCTAAGAATAGAAAAAGAAAGAATGATAACAAAAGTGTCTCAGACAGAGAGTCTGAGCCAGCTCACTGTGATTGGCCATTAATTAGAAACATCCACATGAGACCAATCCCAGATGCACCTGCTGCATTTCACAGCAGCAGATAACCATTGAGTACATTTTGTTCTTGAAGTCTCTCAGCTTCTCGAGAAGAAAATCGTAAAGAAAAGATTTTTCATAAAAGATGTCTGTGGCAGAGGAGTGGTGCCATTTCCCCACTGCTGGTTCTCCAGGAGAGCGCTGTCCCAGGTGGCTCAGAGCTCGGGCACAAAGAGCCATGCCCAGGTGTTCACAGCCCAGACCTGGGCTCCTGGCGTGCCTGGGAAGATCTGCTTGCAGCTTTTCACCGTGTCAGAGGGCACAGGGGCTGAGCCAGGTCGCTGTCCCCTCTGCAGAGTACCTGAAGGAGCAGCTGGATGTGTACATGTCGCGCTTCCCCAAGGTGAAGGTGCTGCACCTCCGGGAGAGGCACGGCCTGATCCGGGCCAGGCTGGCAGGAGCTGAGATTGCCACAGGTAGGGCAGGAGCACGGGGTGGGCCAGGCCTTGGGGACACAAGCCAAGCTGCAATGGGATTGGCAGTGTGTGTATGGGGGATCCGGGGTGGATGGGGCAGCTCCAGGGCTGCCAGAGCTCCCAGCCAAGGGTGGGGGGCTCTGCACCTCCTACAGCCCCCCCCAAGGGCAGCCCCATGCTCAGTGATGCCAGGGAAAAGACTTTAATTCAGACAAGAGTCTTACATTCCTAGTTTACAGCTTGATGCTTAGTGCAGGGGCTCAGAGGGATCACCAGAGCTCTTCTCTGCCATCAACATGGCTTAACGAGATGCTGAGGGGAAACTGGGATTAGAGGAAAAACAAGAAAACGCAATTGGAGTGATCAAACCCAAAAAATTGCTGGGCTAACACGCTTTAGGGGACCCCAGAGGTGCTGGGCTCCCCCTCCAGCACGGCCTTTGTCCCTCCCAGTGCACCAAGGGCGTCCTTTTGCCACCGTCTCCAGCCCCGGCTCCACCACCTGCCCTGCCAGGCTGTGTCAGCACCAAAATGCCCATTTCTGTCAGGAGTTGCTCTGCCAAGCAGGGAAAAAACGCTCTTGGCTGTGGCTGGGCAGGTCTGGGGAGTCAGGGAGTGTGGTGGTGTTTGCAGGGGTCCCAGGGTGAGGGGAGAGACGAGAATGTTGACTCCATGTTCCAGAAAGCTTGAGTTATTATTTTATGATATATATTATATTAAAACTATACTAAAAGGATAGAAGAAAGGATTTCATCAGAAGGCTGGCTAAGAATAGAAAAGGAATGACCACAAAGGCTTGTGACTGACTGAGACAGTCCGGACAGCTGGGCTGTGATTGGCCATGAATTAGAAACAACCCCATGAGCCCAATCCCAGATGCACCTGTTGCATCCCACAGCAGCAGATAACCATTGGGTACATTTTGTTCCTGTTGCATCCCACAGCTGCAGATAACCATTGGGTACATTTTGTTCCTGTTGCATTCCACAGCAGCAGATAACCATTGGGTACATTTTGTTCCTGAGGCCTCTCAGCTTCTCAGGAGGAGAAATCCTAAGGAAAGGCTTTTCCAGAAGATACCATGGCTGCAAAGGAGGGCCGTGGCACATCAGCAGCACCCCAAGCGCACAGGGGGCTGCCAGCAGGGCAGGGTTGGGGTGCCCGGGGCTGACCCTGCCCTGCTGTGCCCCAGGCGCTGTGCTGACCTTCCTGGACTCGCACGTGGAGTGCAACGTGGGCTGGCTGGAGCCGCTGCTGGAGCGCGTCCGCCTGCGCCGCACCAAGGTGGCCTGCCCCGTCATCGAGGTCATCAGCGACAGGGACATGAGGTGAGACAGCCCGTCCCTGCAGTGCCCAGCACGGCCTGGCACCCCCAGCACGCTCTGCAGGCATGGAGCCGAGGCTCCAGAGCCCACACAGCCTGCAGAGCCTTCCACGGGGCACACAGGCATTGCTGGGAAATGAACATTCTTGGATGGGCTGCGGTTCATTGCAGCCCCGAGACACGTGGGCAGTCTCTGTTTCGGCTGCTCGTTCGAAGAATGAGTCGGAGTTCCTCAGTTTCCCATCTCAGAGTTGTTTATTGTATCTTATCTAAAAAAAATTTTCTCCTGTCCAGCCGAGGTCTGCTCAGCAGGACAGACAGGGGCACTCTGCCTGCCCTGGGGCTGTGTTATCTCTTTATGCTACAAACTGCTTATAACATGTTTACAATGACTTCCCAATACCCATCACCTGTGTTAGACAGTGAGCTTCTACTCTAAACCAATGCAAAAGTGCCACCATCACAGCAGGAGATGGAGGCCAAGAAGAAGAAGAAGAAAGGCTGGACACGCCCAAGTCCCTCCATCTTGTCCCCAAAACCCCTATTCTAAAAAATGCCAAAATCTACTTTTCCACCTAGTGATAATTTTATTATTACACTACTTAAACTTCTGTGGCTCTCAGGTCTTCATACAAAGCTGGTAATTTGCTCCATGGGTTATAATCAAACCCACAGGTGCTCTGGGCTCTGTGCCAGGGTCTCTGAGCCCCCTGGCAGGGGTCCCAGCAGCTCTGGACACCCGGAGGGATGCACTGAGTTCTGACAAACATTAGCTGGGGATGTGGCCCCTGTTTATCACACACCTTTCTGATTTTTCACAACTTTCAGTACATGAAGAGGATTCCTGATGAAATTTGTTAAAATCCTGGTTTAATTACCCACAGATATTCATCTTCTCTCATTAGGGGTGACCTTTCAATCAGGAGTGTGACTCAGAATTAGTCAGCCCTATCTTTCCTCTGTTTAGTTACATGACCGTGGACAACTTCCAGCGTGGGATTTTCACTTGGCCAATGAATTTTGGATGGAGGCAGATTCCACAAGAGGTCATTGAGAAAAATAAGATCAAGGAAACTGATATAATAAGGTAAATAAAAGAGATGCGAGAGCTTTGCAAACCAGCCCGTTCCTTTGGTAATAATCCAGCAGCAGAGGCTCCTTTGAGGCCAAATGATGTTATTTTGTGGCCAAGTATTGTTCCTGTGCTTCCCAGGACAGGTGAGGCACAGGCAATCCCCCCATCAGGCATGGGCAAAGTCCTCGAGGCCTTTTTCCCCACTCATGCCGGTGTGTCAGCCAGGAGAACATTTCACTGCCTTTCTTGGCAGTGCTTTTCTTTCCTCACTGCCTTTCTTGCACTGCTTTTCCTGCCCTTCCCTGCCCCATTACAGCTTTCAGGCCACCCAAAGGCCCTCTCTGATACCCTGTGTGGCCTCTGTGTCCCCAGGTGCCCCGTCATGGCAGGTGGCCTGTTCTCCATCGATAAGAAGTATTTCTCTGAGCTGGGAATGTACGACCCAGGACTGGATGTCTGGGGAGGGGAAAACATGGAGATTTCATTCAAGGTAGGTGACTGTGCCACAGCTGCACCCCTGCCAGCCTGGGTGGGTGATGGGGCGCAGGCAGGGGCTCCCAGGGACAGCTCCATCTCCCTGGGCGCCTGATCTGCCTCTCCTGGCTTGCACGAGGCAGCGCCCACGCTCAGCTGGCGTCCATCAGCCATCCCTGTTCCTCAGGTGTGGATGTGCGGAGGAGAGATCGAGATAGTTCCGTGCTCCAGGGTCGGGCACATTTTCAGGAATGACAATCCCTACTCCTTCCCAAGAGACCGCGTGAGGACGGTGGAGAGGAACCTGGCGCGCGTGGCCGAGGTGTGGCTGGACGAGTACAAGGAGCTGTTCTATGGCCATGCCTACCACCTGCTGCACAGCGTGGATGTGGGCGACCTGAGCCAGCAGATCCGGCTGCGGCAGAGGCTCCGCTGCAGAACCTTCCACTGGTACCTGCAGAACGTCTACCCGGACCTGGAGGCTCCCCTGGTCAAGGCCAGCGGGCAGGTACGTGCCCAGGGGCTGCTCCCAGGGGCTGGCCGTGCCCTGGGCCCTGCTCCTGGGCCTCTGGCAGCTTCTGGGGTGTGTGATACAGCACAGAGGCCTGCGTTCCTGGGCATCTTTATAAAGAAATAGGTGACAGAAGGGATGACTTCCCTCTAGAGGGCTGGCTGCGTGTCTGGATGGCCGAGTGGGAGCACAGGAGCAGGGTCTGTAGGGTCGGGCTCCATAGATGCAGGCTCTGTAGGGTCAGGGTCTCTAGGAGCAGGGTCTGTAGGGTCAGGGTCTCTAGGAGCAGGGTCTGTAGGGTCGGGCTCCATAGATGCAGGGTCTGTAGGGTTGGGGTCCATAGATGCAGGCTCTGTAGGGTCAGGGTCTCTAGGAGCAGGGTCTGTAGGGTCGGGCTCTGTAGGAGCAGGGTCTGTAGGGTCGGGGTCTCTAGGGGCAGGGTCTGTAGGGTCAGGGTCTCTAGGAACAGGGTCTGTAGGGTTGGGGTCTCTAGGAGCAGGGTCTGTAGGGTCAGGGTCCATAGATGCAGGGTCTGTAGGGTCGGGCTCTGTAGGAACAGGGTCTGTAGGGTCAGGGTCTCTAGGAGCAGGGTCTGTAGGGTCAGGGTCTCTAGGAGCAGGGTCAATCGGGCCAGGGTCCCTAGGAACAGGGTCTGTAGGGTCAGGGTCTCTAGAACAGGGTCTGTAGGGTCGGGCTCTGTAGGGTCAGGGTCTCTAGGAACAGGGTCTGTAGGGTCGGGCTCTGTAGGAACAGGGTCTATAGGGTCAGGGTCCATAGATACAGGGTCTGTAGGGCCAGGGTCTCTAGAACAGGGTCTGTAGCACGGCTCCGCCGCCAGCAGAGCGCAGCAGCCGCTCGCGTTGCCGGCGCTGCGGGACGGGCGGAGGGACCGGCCCCGCTCCGAGCTCGGATCCTGCGCCTCGCCGGGGCACCGGGCACAGAGCGCTTTAAAGTCGCTTTGGATTCAATGCTGCCTGCACAAGGCTCTTGCTCGGCGCCTGGCGAGAGAAACCGGGTCAGGCTCCCCTTCTCCAGCACCACAGAATTCCAGAACGCTCTGGCTGGAAAGGGACCTTAAAGCTCAGCTCATTCCATCCCTGCCATGGGCTGGGGCACCTTTCACTCGACCACGGTGCTCCAAGCCCTATCCAGCCTGGCCTGGACACTCTGTTCTGCCTCCCTTCCTTATGTGTACCGTGTTAATTAGAGTGTCCCGTGAGCCCAGGAGTTCCAGTGCAGTGCAACATCCTCTCCCCCATCCTGGGAGTTCCTCTCCAAATCTGCCTTTTGTTGCTGTTTCCCAGCTCGCTAACGTGGCCCTGGCGGGGTGCATCGCTGTGGAAGGCACCGCCCTGGCTTTTGAGAAGTGCGATGCTAACAGCACGGTAAGAACAGCCTGCAGGCACCCCGGGTGTGCCACCCTGCCTGTGGCACCGGGCACGGAGCCCCCGAGCCTCCCCTGTGGCCTGTGCCCTCCCCGGGGCTAGCACAGCCCTTCCCACCCTGGACAGAGCCAGGCCCTGCCTGCAAGGGGCAGGAACAGCCTGTGGCCGAGCAACAGCGACAGAAACAGCAAATTCGGCTGGTTAGGAAAGTGTGTAAAGCTGTGAGTTTGCACATGAAAACAGAGAAAGATTTAAATAGCAGCCTGTGACCTGTGTGCATCCATCCAGCTGTACCTCACAGCCCTTGCAGTGCTCTGAGAGGGCCAGAGAAGGACCCAGAGTGCCAGGACACAGGGAGTGGCTCCCACTGCCAGGGGGCAGGGATGGGGGGGATGCTGGGAATTGGGAGTTCCTGGCTGGGAGGGTGGGCAGCCCTGGCACAGGTGCCCAGAGCAGTGTGGCCAGCCCTGCCATGGAGCCTGAGATGGGGCTGTGTCTCCTCCTGCTCTCTCCCCACAGAACCAGAAGTTCAACTACACCTGGCTGAGGCTGATCCAGCACGGAGAGCTGTGCCTGGCCCCGGCGGGCGTGCTGGGAGCCCTGGGCCTGCGCCAGTGCCAGGGCAGGAGCCGCAGCCTGGCCTGGCTCCACGGGAACCTGGCCCCTGAGCAGCCAGGGCTGGTGAGTGATGCTGCAGCTGCAGCCTCCAGGGATGGCAGGAGGGGACAGGGGTGGCCCCTGTGCAGCCAGGGCTGGTGAGGGATGCTGCAGCTGCAGCCTCCAGGGATGGCAGGAGGGGACAGGGGTGGCCCCTGTGCAGCCAGGGCTGGTGAGGGATGCTGCAGCTGCAGCCTCCAGGGATGGCAGGAGGGGACAGGGGTGGCCCTGAGCAGCCAGGGCTGGTGAGTGATGCTGCAGCTGCAGCCTCCAGGGATGGCAGGAGGGGACAGGGGTGGCCCTGAGCAGCCAGGGCTGGTGAGTGATGCTGCAGCTGCAGCCTCCAGGGATGGCAGGAGGGGACAGGGGTGGCCCTGCCCGCCCAGGTGGGTCAGGCTGCCCGGAGAGCACTGATGGGGGCACAGCCTGGCACAGGGGCACCCCACCCTCTGCTGCCCGCTTTGCCAAGGCTGCCTGTCCCCTAGAGACCTGCTGGTGCCCAGGCCCCCAGCCCTCATGCCCCTCTGTCACGGGCTGTGTCCATCCCAGTGCCGAGCGTCCCGACACGGCTGCCAGCCTGGGGACACTGGGGACCTGCAGGCGCTGCCACAGCCACAGCAGCAGCAGCAAAACAGCCAAAACAGCCTGGTTTTACACAGAAACCGTCAATAGCACTTAAAGGGAGATGAGTCAGCATCGATCGGCTCTCAGCTCACAGCGGTGTTTAAAGACAGCACTTATGGAAAGAAGGAGAATGGATACTTACACTAATTGCCTGCACTGCACAGAGTCATGGCTCTACCTCTGTCAGCCTGGTGCAAGTAATTGTCCAAAATGCTCTGAAATGGCATAGTCTATTGTTGGGAAAAAAACACTCTTCACTTAAGAAAGAAGAAGTGTAGCATTCAATACACAGACAATTTCCTGTTGCCCTTTGGTTTTTTCAGCCTAAAATGGTGAATGCCAGAGTGCCGCAGGCTCACGTTGGGTGTTTAGGGAAAAATACAGGAAAATTTTTATCCACTTACTGAAAATTGTGAAATTGTCACTTCACTTTGTGAAAAGTAGGCAGAAGTGCCCAGGGAGCTGTTACAGGGCAGGGGCAGGTCTTGCCTCCTGTCACAGCCTGGTTTCTCAGCTGAGGGTGAGATGGATTTAGTGCTGCTCTTTTGCTGGTGCCAGCAACAGGAGAATGAGGAGAGCTCAGTGGCTGCTGCCTGAAGGAGTGGCAGTGCTTTGCCCTCTCCTGGCATCAGGCACTGTGTCATGCAAGGATGTGCAGCTCCTGTCTGCACAAAGGGGCAGCTCCTGCCCAGGCCCCGGCACAGGTCACACCAGGAGTGTCTCACCTCGGTGTCACCGAGCTGCTCCTGAGCATCACCGCAGTGCCAGGAGTGGCACAGGAATGTCCCATGCCTGTGGCAGCACCTGCAGCATCCCCGGGCTGAGAGAGGTTAATCCGAGCAGATGGGAAAAGCAGAAGGGTGGAGGGCACTCAGACTCTCTGTTCTTTCCCTGCCCCAGCACTCGGGCTCTGGGGCTGGGTCACCCAACGTCCTTGCCAGCACAGGGACTGTGCCAGGTTGAGAGCGGGTTAATCAGCCACAGGCTAAGCACAGAAACCAGGGTCCTGCTGCACATCCATTCCCTGTGGAGCAGATCCCGCCCCAGGGACTCCCTGCCCTGGCAGCTGCCACACAGGCAGTGAGAGAGCTCAGCCCTCTGTTCCCAGCCAAGCACAGCCCAGGACAGGTGTGCTGTGAGTGCACAGGTGTGCTGTGAATGTACAGGTGTGCTGTGAGTGCACAGGTGTGCTGTGAGTGCACAGGAGTGCTGTGAGTGCACAGGTGTGCTGTGAGTGCACAGGTGTGCTGTGAGGGCACAGGTGTGCTGTGACTGCACAGGTGTGCTGTGAATGCACAGGTGTGCTGTGAGGGCACAGGTGTGGTGTGAGTGCATAGGTGTGCTGTGAGTGTACAGGTGTGGTATGGATGCACAGGTGTGGTATGGATGCACAGGTGTGCTGTGGCTGCACAGGTGTGGTATGGATGCACAGGAGTGCTGTGAGTGCACAGGTGTGCTGTGAATGCACAGGAGTGCTGTGAGTGCACAGCTGCGCTGTGAGTGCACAGCTGCGCTGTGAGTGCACAGGTGTGCTGTGAGTGCACAGGTGTGCTGTGAGTGTACAGGTGTGCTGTGAGTGCACAGGTGTGGTATGGATGCACAGGAGTGCTGTGAGTGCACAGGAGTGCTGTGAGTGCACAGGTGTGCTGTGAGGGCACCAGTGTGGTATGGATGCACAGGTGTGCTGTGAGTGCACAGCTGCGCTGTGAGTGCACAGGTGTGCTGTGAATGCACAGGTGTGCTGTGAGGGCACAGGTGTGCTGTGAATGCACAGGTGTGCTGTGAATGCACAGGAGTGCTCTGAGTGCACAGGTGTGCTGTGAGTGCACAGGTGTGCTGTGAGTGTACAGGTGTGCTGTGAGTGCACAGGTGTGCTGTGGCTGCACAGGTGTGCTGTGAGTGCACAGCTGCGCTGTGAGTGCACAGGTGTGCTGTGAGTGTACAGGTGTGCTGTGAGTGCACAGGTGTGCTGTGAATGCACAGGTGTGCTGTGGCTGCACAGGTGTGCTGTGAATGCACAGGTGTGGTGTGAGTGCACAGGTGTGCTGTGAATGCACAGGTGTGGTGTGAGTGCACAGGTGTGCTGTGAGTGCACAGGTGTGCTGTGAGTGTACAGGTGTGCTGTGAGTGCACAGGTGTGCTGTGAGTGCACAGCTGCGCTGTGAGTGCACAGGTGTGCTGTGAGTGTACAGGTGTGCTGTGAGTGCACAGGTGTGCTGTGAGGGCACAGGTGTGCTGTGACCCTGGCTCAGCAGCAGCTGCAGGCTTGGATCCCAAGCCACAGTCTCAGTCAGTCAGCAGAGATATCTCAGGTATTAGGGATGAGCCAGAAAAGGGCACACTGTGAGGAGCTGGGCTTTCTCTGAGGGAAAGCAGGGCTGCTGCTGCTGGAGCTGCTGCTGGTGCAGGAGCCCTGAAGCCCAAGCACCCCCTGATTCCCTCAGGGCAGCCCCCTGAGCCCCTGTCTGTCCCGCAGAGTGCCCACCTGGTCTCACAGCACCCATACCTCACCCCTCAGCCTGACTCCCCCAGGGCAGCCCCCTGAGCCCCCTAGGGCAGCCCCTGAGCCCCTGTCTGTCCCGCAGAGTGCCCACCTGGTCTCACAGCACCCATACCTCACCCCTCAGCCTGATTCCCCCAGCCTGAGCCCCTGTCTGTCCCGCAGAGTGCCCACCTGGTCTCGCAGCACCCGCGCCTCCCGCAGCAGCCGGCGTGCCTGGAGGTGGATGCCGCGTTCAGGGCCCTGCGGCTGAGGCGCTGTGAGGCCGGGAACCCCCGGCAGAAGTGGCAGTTCAGCAGGTACCACGCAGACTGAGGGCGGCCTGGCGCCACGGCGCTGCCCTGCTGTGCCTGGCCACGGGGAAGCGCATCTCCCATGGAAGCTGCAGCGTGTGACGTGAGACCTGCGTGTGGAGGGACCCCAGCACCCAGAGCAGCGCCCCTGAACAGAGCAGCAGCATTTCCCCTCTCTGCGGGAGACTTTGGGAAAAACTCCTTTTCTGTGCTATTAAATGGAAATATTTTTTGAAAAAAAGAGTCCCCATCCTACTGTAAGCAAACATCCCTCAGCTCCCTCTGACAGCAGCATAAGCTACAGAAATACATCTGGGGCCCTGTAAGCAGCAAACTGGGCTGCTCATTCCTCCTCAGAAACTGGACGTTTGTTGACCAATGCATCAAAAATATCCAGTACCATGTCCATGCTGGATGTGGCTGCAGGATCCCTCCCTGTGGGAGGTGTTGTGTGACAGGTGAGGCTCAGGGGTCTGTGAGGAGCCGCTCGCACATCAATGAAGCCCACATTTTGTGGTGGCTTCCCCTCTCCCTGGAGGTGTCCCAGCCCCTGCTCCTGGGCACGGGGGCTGCCCTGGTTCCCCAGCCCTCTGTGCTGGTGTTGGGATCTCTGGCTGCTCACAGGGACCCCCAGATGTGTCAGAAATTCTCTTTTCCCAGCCCGGCGCTCCAAGAAGGAGTCAGAGCTCTTCAGTTCTCGGTCTCAAGGTTGGTTATTGTTCCTTATCTATAAAATTCTTTCTCTGACCTGCCCAGGTCTGCTCAGCAGGACAGACAGAGGCACTCTGCCTGCCCTGGGGCTGTGTTATCTTTTTATACTAAAAACTACCTGTACAAGATTTACAATGACTTCCCAATACCCATCACCTGTGTTAGACAGTGAGCTTCTACTCTAAACCAATCCAAAAGTGCCAACATCACCCAGAAAATGGAGGCCAAGAAGAAGAAGGGAAAAGGACAGGGCACGCCCAAATTCCTCCATCTTGGGACCCCAAGCCCCCATTCTAAAAACCTCAAAAAATCTATTTTTTTCACCCTGTGACAAACGAACTATTATTCTACTTAATCTCTTTTGATTTGTAATTCTTCCTATAAAGGTTGGTAATTGTTTTTTTCCAAGGGCTAAATCAAAGGCACAGGGGTCTTGGGCTGTGTGCCAAGGTCTCTGAGCCGCCTGGGCAGGGCAGCCAGAGGAATGTCCTGGGTTCTGACAAGGCAGGGTTTCCACCGCTGCTCCCATTGGGAATCCCTGCAGTGGGATGCTGCTCCCTGTGCCCTGAGGCTGCAGTGGGAGGCCGTGCTCCCCTCCTGCCCCCTGCCCCGTGCTGGGGTGCGTGGGGTGAACGTGCACCCGGTGCTCGCGGTGGGCACGGCCGGGCCCCAGCCCTGCCTCACAGCCCTGCCCCTGCCCTGGGCCCAGCACTGCCTCTGACATGTGCATCACTGCTGACAGCATCTGACAGGCTCAGTCTGCCAAGATATTGACTGGCCCCACAGGTTTCCCCAGTTGACTCCTATTCCAGCTGTCTTCCTGATTTTCTCTGCCTCCTTCAGCGCAGCTAGCCCGCAGTCACCATCAGAAAAATGACACAGACGTTGTTCGGGCAGTCAGCTCGCATCAGGAGCATGAGTTTCATCAGGTTCTGTTTGCTGACATTCAATCAGCTGTCACGGAGCGGGCAGCAGGCAGTCAGATGTCACGGTCACATCCCATCGGCAGCGCTGTCACTCGCAGCCGCTGCCCGCTCCTGGAAATGCTCACTGGAAATGCTGGATCTGTGCTCAGGGACTGCAGCCTGCCCGGGGGCGGCTGGCAGTGAGCTGGGCCCCGCTGCTGCTCCGTGCCGGGACCACTCCGAGGGCACCAGTCAGCCCAGTCTTCCAGAAAGGAGAGCATTGCTCCAGAAAGGAGAGCATTGCTCCAGAAAGGAGGGCACAGCATTTCTCCAGCAGGCACAGCGGTGCCAGCAGGCACCCCAGGCTGGGCTCCGGGAGCGGCAGGGCTGGGACACCCGTGTGTGGGGTGGGGACAGGGGGCCCTGCTGTCCCTGGTGCTGAATTGTTAGATAAAAAGGAATAAATGGTAGTGGATGGAGCGGCTTCCTCTGAGCACAGAGTGTTCCATCTGAGAAGCTCCCCCCGAGCTGCTGCCAGGCTGAGCCGTACAGCATCGCCCCAGGAGGAGCCTCCAAAGCACCAATTCCCTGCATTCTGGCCTCCTGGCTCCTCACTCCGTGCACGGAGCCGAGCTGGTTGCTGCAGCCACAGCCGCTGCAGCTGTTGTGACAACTGTCCCCTGTCACCTGTCCCCTGTCCCCTGTCACCGACACACCCCTCACCTGCCGTCAGCCCGGCCCCGGCACAAACGGAGAAAATGGATTTTCGGGCTGTGGCTGCCATGGCCTGGCCAGCAGCAGCCTCCAAGTGCCTCTGCTGCAAGGGGCAGCGAGCAGATCCCTGCGTGTGCCCTCAGGGCAGTGCAGGCAGCTCCTGCTCCTCTTCTGTCCCACGCTGTGTCCCCGGGCACGGCCAGAGCTCCAGCCCCTCATCCCTGCTCCTCTCCTGTCCCACTCTGTGTCCCCGGTCATTCCAGAGCTCCAGCCCCTCATCCCTGCTGCTCTCCTGTCCCACCCTGTGCCCATTGGCACGGCCAGAGCTCCAGTCCCTCATCCCTGCTCCTCTCCTGTCCCACTCTGTGTCCCCGGCCATGCCAGAGCTCCAGTCCCTCATCCCTGCTCCTCTCCTGTCCCACGCTGTGTCCCCGGGCACGGCCAGGGCTCCAGCCCCTCATCTCTGCCCTGCTCCTCTCCTGTCCCATCCTGTGTCCCCGGCCATTCCAGAGCTCCAGTCCCTCATCCCTGCTGCTCTCCTGTCTCACCCTGTGCCCATGGGCACGGCCAGAGCTCCAGCCCCTCATCCCTGCTGCTCTCCTGTCTCACCCTGTGTCCCCGGCCATTCCAGAGCTCCAGCCCCTCATCCCTGCCCCGTTCCTGTCCCACCCTGTGTCCATTGGCACGACCAGAGCTCCAGCCCCTCATCCCTGCCCCGTTCCTGTCCCACCCTGTGCCCATGGCCATGCCAGAGCTCCAGTCCCTCATCCCTGCTCCTCTCCTGTCCCACCCTGTGCCCCCGGCCATTCCAGAGCTCCAGTCCCTCATCCCTGCTGCTCTCCTGTCCCACCCTGTGCCCATGACCATACCAGAGCTCCAGCCCCTCATCCCTGCTCCTCTCCTGTCCCACGCTGTGTCCCCGGGCATGGCCAGAGCTCCAGCCCCTCATCCCTGCTGCTCTCCTGTCCCACGCTGTGCCCCCGGCCATGCCAGAGCTCCAGCCCCTCATCCCTGCTCCTCTCCTGTCCCACCCTGTGCCCATGGCCATGCCAGAGCTCCAGCCCCTCATCCCTGCTCCTCTCCTGTCCCACGCTGTGTCCCCGGCCATGCCAGAGCTCCAGTCCCTCATCCCTGCTGCTCTCCTGTCCCACCCTGTGCCCATGACCATACCAGAGCTCCAGCCCCTCATCCCTGCTCCTCTCCTGTCCCACGCTGTGTCCCCGGGCATGGCCAGAGCTCCAGCCCCTCATCCCTGCTGCTCTCCTGTCCCACGCTGTGCCCCCGGCCATGCCAGAGCTCCAGCCCCTCATCCCTGCTCCTCTCCTGTCCCACCCTGTGCCCATGGCCATGCCAGAGCTCCAGCCCCTCATCCCTGCTCCTCTCCTGTCCCACGCTGTGTCCCCGGCCATGCCAGAGCTCCAGCCCCTCATCCCTGCTGCTCTCCTGTCCCACCCTGTGCCCATGACCATACCAGAGCTCCAGCCCCTCATCCCTGCTCCTCTCCTGTCCCACTCTGTGTCCCCGGCCATTCCAGAGCTCCAGCGCCCCGTCCGTGCCCGTCCCTTGCCGGTGAGCCCCGGCTGCTCACACCACTCCCTCCCGGGCCCGGCCAGGTGGGCAGGTTCTCGGCCCACCGAGCATCCCAGCGCTTCCATTTTCTCACTTTTTTCACCCAGGAGAGCAGGAGAGGGCGCTGCGGTCCTGGGCTGAGCGAGCGCCGCTCTGCAAGGAGGCAAAAGCCAGCCCAAGGTGCTCAAAGCCTTGGGGAGCCTTTCCACCGAAAGTGCGGGGAGCGGTCGCAGACAGCGATAGAATTGGAGTGGGTTTGGGTTGGAAGGAGCCCTAAAGCCCGTCCCGTTGCACGCCCGGCCATGGCAGGGACGCGTCCCCTGTCCCGGGCTGTCCCAGCGCTGCGGTGGCCCTGGCTGTCCCCGAGAGGCCACCCCAGGGCAGCTGCCAGCAGCAACAGACCCGCAGTATAGGTTGGTACAAGCAACGCTCAGAACTTGCCCAGGCCAAGGAGCAAACAAACAAGTGTGAATGGCACAATGAGGGCTATGTCTGCTGGCACAATGCAGAATTGCCCCGTATTATTTTCACGTTGCCAATAAATAATTGCCTTTATGTAGAACAAGAAAAGCCAAAGCGATATTCAGTGCTGCTGGAGATGTAAAACTAATCCTTTAAAAGGCACTTATGGCTGCAGGAGGCCCTGTATAACTCCTTCCTTACCTCCTCTCCCTTGCCAGCAGTCCTCAGCTTTCCCAGATGCTTTCTGGGATGACAAGTGCAAAGCTAAGTCCCAACTCCAGACAAATCTAGAGTAAATCAGTTTAAAAATATTGACACCACTGCATGGTGCTTACACAAAGGCCCTTCAAAATGGAGAAGGGTAATATCCAGGTGAGACAAAAATAATGGATTAAAACCCTCCTGGTTTTGACAAAATAATCTTTCAAATTTTGCACCTAAACTTAGGATGAAAGTCAGGACACCTGAGAGAGTCTGAGTGGTAGCACTGGGACAAGAGGTGTTCCTGGTGGTGGCCAGGCTCACCAGCTGCACACAGGCACAGGCAGAGGGGTGCCAGCTGAGCTGCTGCCCCCGGGGCCAGCCCAGAGCCTGGCTGTGCCTCTGCAGGTGGCACTGGTCACCCGTGCCCCAAAGCCACCCCGGGCTGGCACCGTGGCCAGCCAGCACCAGCAGCAGTGCCCACTGCTGCCCTGGCCTGCTGGCACCTGGGCACGAGCTGGGACAGGCAGGGCTGGCAGGGGCACCAGGACAGACAGACAGACTGCAGAACAGAACGGGGCTGGTCACAGCTGTCCCTGTTGGTGCCCCTGCCCTGGCAGTGTCACAGCTGCCACGCTGCCAGCTCCTTACAGCACAGCCGGCAGCCAGAGGGGCCCAGCCAGCTCCAGCCCTGCCCTGGTCTCAACGCAGTTACAAAGGCAGGGAGGAGAAAGGAGGGTAACCTGGACATCCAGTGGTGTGCATTTAGCAAACTGATTATTTATTTTCCTGCGCTACGGATGCCTGTGCCCCCGTCAAAGCCAAGATGTTAAAGTTTCACAGTGTATTATAAATCATGTACAAAAAGAAGAAAAGCAGTGGCCTCGTGTTGTGTGAAGAGACACGTTTTGGGGGAGCAAAATAAAGCCAAGCCCAGAGCAAGGGCTCGGTGCGTCGGGCGCTCCCCCTCAGTTCACAAGTGCATCATGGACTCGAACTCGTCGATGCGCTGTTTGGTGTTTCCTTTGCGGATCCTCCGGTAGGAGATTGTGTTGTACCTGGAGTAGCTGTGTCGGGAGATGTCGTTCTTCTTCCCCAGGCTGGGCGGCTCCCCAGCCTTCTCCAGCGGGGAGTTGCAGCCGGGGCTGCCCGGGGGCGAAGGCTGCTTGTCCCGCTGCTGCGGCCGGGACGCCTCGCTGCTCTCCTTCTTCATCTCGATCACCTGAACCTCGTCCTCCTCGGTGTCCTCATCCTCCTCCGCCGCCTCCTCCTCCTCCTCCTCCCGGGGCGCGTTCCCTCGGGGCTCGGCGCTGCCCGCCGGGGTCTCCGGTGCCTCCCTGCCGGCTGCGGGCACCGTGCCCGTCCCCGCCGTGCCAGCCGGCCCTGCGCGACACGGGGGACACGGGGGACACGGCGGCTGCGGCACCACCGGCTCCTGCCCCCGGACTCGCCATTGGGGTGACACGGGGCCAGGCCGGACCCCAACACCTGGGGACAGCTCCCAGAGCCACCCCCTGTCCTTTGGAATGACCCCTCCGGGAAGGGAAGGGAAGGGAAGGGAAGGGAAGGGAAGGGAAGGGAAGGGAAGGGAAGGGAAGGGAAGGGAAGGGAAGGGAAGGGAAGGGAAGGGAAGGGAAGGGAAGGGAAGGGAAGGGAAGGGAAGGGAAGGGAAGGGAAGGGAAGGGAAGGGAAGGGAAGGGAAGGGAAGGGAAGGGAAGGGAAGGGAGCTGTTCTGCATGCAGTGCCCAGCTGTGCCCCGATGGGACGTGTCCCCTCCTCATCAGTGGCCACCCCTGCTGCCATGGCCATCTCCCATTTGCCCTGTTTGGCACGTCCCTGCGGTTAATGATGCTCTAGTGTCGAAACAAATGGTCTATTCAAGGTTTTGCCTGTGGGGTCCAGAGTATTAATTAGACTAAATTGGTCGGGTACTAAAAAGCTGCCTGCAATTTGGAGATAAAGCGCTGTGGTTGCAGGGCGGGTGCAGGGGGCCCATGAGAGATCCTTTAATAGGTTTTATTGTGTGCTCCTGAAGCAGCACAGCTGGAATATGGATGTCAGCTCTAAATGGGAAAGCCTCCACCACTATTCACCTCCTCACAGCCTAGGCAATTGCTATGAAATATTAATTTGGCCATGACAAATGTTCAAGATATTTTTCCTTTTGTTAATGGAGGCAGGATTTGCTTGCAGGGCACAGCCCATGGCTCATTTAGAGCCCACTGCAAAGCTCAGGGCAGAGCATCACCAGCAGCTCCCGGTGCAGCCACTCTTGTCCCAAAGAGCCAACAAGACAGGAGGAGCCCGTGGTGGGAGATGAGGAGAGGAATAATGCCCAGAGCCCCCCTTGGAGAGACGTGGCTGTTATCCTCCACTAACACACCATGGAATGCTCCTCCTTTTGGAGAAGAGGCTGCAGTTTGCATAGTGAAATGAACATGTTCGTTTCTGTATATACTCAGTAGATTTTTAGCTCATGACCAGGACAGTCAGTGATCCCCCTGCAGCCCTACCCACCACAGGAGGTAGCTGAGGCTCCAGCCCTGGCTCCTGCTCATTTCCACCATTTTCACCCAGAAATGAGCACAGCAACACCCAGGAACAGGTGTTTAGGAGAGCAATTTTGTGTGGATACCTGGGCATTGGGGGATTCAACACTTGGTGAATCAGGCAGGAAAAGGATTTGGGTTTTGTGAGCACCTGCAGCCTCACGAGGTTCTCCTCTGAGCATGGAGCAGAAGACAGAGAATCTCCCAACCCCATGAGGCTGTTGGGACCCCCTGCCTGAAGACCCCACAATGCTTGGATGCCCCATGGCCCATGAGACACGTAAAACTCTGTCAGGAAGATACCAGCTGTGGTTTCTAAGGTGCAGCAGCTCACAGGTGAGAGATGAGTCACTACTCCCCGGAATAGAAGGGTCTGACCCAATTAAAAAATAATAACAACCACCTGCATCCACTGTCTGTGCCACACACCAGTGAAACCCCCCATCGGATGGCATTTTGCATTACCTTCCCCTGATCCCTGGCCATTGGTCCCTGCGTCCTGGATATCCGCTGGTCCCTGCTGTGGTGTCCCAGCATTCTCCTCTCGCTTTTCTTTGGAAACACAAAGCACAAGACATGGGCTGACGGAGCAATTAGCAACCTGCAGATCAGCAGGTTTTCAGAGCAGATTTAGAATTGCTCATTTCTTTCGTTATGGTCTTTTCATTGCATCCCTCAAATGTGTCCCAGATTCCGAAATACTCCAAGTCACTGTTACAGCTACCACAGACTGGGAATTTTGGCTAACACACAGCACATCCCATTATTCATCAGGTTTTGGATAAAACAGAACTTTTCTTTCCCAACACCCAGAGACAGGCAGCCCCGTACGATACCTTGGCATCGCTGCTCTCCAGCAAAATTCTCAGGAGTGATGTCCTCTGGCAGTGAATTTATATTTTCCTCCAGATTTTCCTCTGCAGGTGAGGTGTCAGGGCTTGTTTCAGCATTTGCGTACGGGACTGTCCCAAGAGATTTTGCAATTTCTTGGAGGCCACCGATGACCTGGAGCGGGCCGTCCTGCGGGGGAAGGCTCCCGTTGCACGCCGGCATGGTGGCAGCTGCGGGCACTTCTTCTGTCATGCTGAGGGCCGTGCCGGGCCGGGCCCCGCTCCTGCCCCGGGGTGGGCAGCTCCTCCTGGCCCCTTCGCCCCGGGGTCTGTCCCCTGCGCGAGTGGCCCTGGCGCGTCCCCTGTGCCCAGCCCCGGCCGCACCATCCGCTGTGCCCGGGGCTTGCCAGCCCAATCAGCACCTCCCTCGTCGCCAGGCTCTGCCCGTTGCATAATTAAATGCACCATTATGATTTACATAAACAAACAATCTGAAGCAAGGAAGCTTTTGTGCCGGCCTGGAGAGCGGGGCTGTGGGCATGTCAGCCCCGCAGGAATAAACAGGAGCTTGTGCTCTGGGCACAATGGCTCTTTGTGTCCCCGCTGGCCACAGGCACAGCCTTTGTTCTGACCCCTAATCCCCGGAGGGTGACCACCTTCCCCAGCCTGCCACCTAACCCGCTTAACATTCCCCAGCGGGTTTGCACCGGGGAACCGCGCTGGGGATGGAAATCACCAGGGATGGAGCTCACCAGGGATGGAAATCACCAGGGATGGAAATCACCAGGGATGGAACTCACCAGGGATGGAAATCACCAGGGATGGAAATCACCAGGGATGGAACTCACCAGGGATGGAGCTCACCAGGGATGGAACTCACCAGGGATGGAACTCACCAGGGATGGAAATCACCAGGGATGGAAATCACCAGGGATGGAAATCACCAGGGATGGAACTCACCAGGGATGGAGCTCACCAGGGATGGAGCTCGCCAGGGATGGAACTCACCAGGGATGGAGCTCACCATGGATGAACCTCACCAGGGATGGAGCTCACCAGGGATGGAGCTCACCAGGGATGGAAATCACCATGGATAACCCTCGCCATGGATGGAGCTCACCACAGATGAAGCTCACCATGGATGAACCTCGCCATGGAGGAACCTCCATGGTGATTAACCTTGCTGTGGGTGGAGCTCACTGTGGATGAACCTCACCGTGGATGGACCCTGCCATAGATGAACCTCGGCATGGATGGAGCTCACCATGGATGAACTTTGCCATGGATGGAGCTCACCATGGATGAACCTTGCCATGGATGGATCTCACCGTGGACGGAACTCACCATGGATGAACCTTGCTGTGGATGAACCTCGCTGTGGATGGAGCTCGCCATGGGTGAACCTCACCAGGGACACAGCTCACCAGGGATGGAGCTCACCATGGATGAACCTTACCATGGATGGACCTTGCCATGGATGAACTTTGCCATGGACGGAGCTCACTGTGAATGAACCTCACCAGGGATGGAGCTCGCCAGGGATGGAGCTCGCCAATGATGGAGCTCACAATGGATGGACCTCATCATGGATGAACCTCACTGTGGATGGAGCTCACCGTGGATGAACCTCACTGTGGATGGAGCTTGCCATGGATGAACCTCACTGTGGTTGAACCTTACTGTGGATGGAGCTCGCCATGGATGAACCTCACTGTGGATGGAGCTCGCCATGGATGAACCTCGCCATGGATGGAGCTTGCTGTGGATGAACCTCGCTGTGGATGACCCTTGCCAGGGATGGAGCTCACCGTGGATGGATGAAGCTCGCTGTGGATGAGCCTCGCTGTGGATGAACATCACCATGGATGAACCTCACCGTGCCCTGGGGCACAATGGGTGCACTTTGCCCTCTGGGGAGCAGCCCCAGCAGTGGGACAGGCACAGGCCCTGCATACAGCACGGTGTCACACTGTCCACCCCTGCCTAGCCACACACCCTGGACAGCCATCACTGCTCAGAGGGCCCATGGCTGCCCCTGGAACCCTGGAAGTGTCCCAGGCGAGGCTGGACAGGGCTTGGAGCAGTGCAAGGTGCTGAAACAGGGAGAGCTTTAAGGTGCCTCCCAACCCAAGACATTCCATGAGTCCCTCAGTGACTCTCAGTCACCCCTAAGGCTGGCAGGATTCAGAGGGAGGTTTGCAGAGGGAAGCTGGAGAGTCACCCAAGCAGCACTGGGGCATTTCTGACCGCAGCTGAGTCACCCAAGCAGCACTGGGGCATTTCTGACCGCAGCTGAACTCGTCTCAACCATGGTGCCCAAAGCCAGGTTTACATAACAGTGTAATCTCCTGCTGTGAATGACATTCTGTGTTGGTGCAATACAGCATTTCTGGTATCTTTGGGCTTTAGGGTTTGGAAATCCTCTTGACAAGTTCAGCCCCTGGTTAGAAATGGACCCAAACACTTTCCACTGCTTCTGTTCATCTCTTGAGTTTGTGTCTTTAAATCAACAAGTTTTCATTATTGTTTTGAAATTAATTTGGTGTGAATGATTTATAAAACCCATCCTTTGCTGGAAAATGTTGTCCAAGAAAAGCAAACGATAAGGTTTGAATGTGAGCTGACAATGGGCAGCTGTTGGTGCCCTCAGGAGGAGAGGCTGAGCACCCAGCAAGGTCTGGTGACTGGAGAGGAGAAGGTTCTTTCCTATTGTCACAGGATCACAGAACAATTTGGGCTGCAGGATTGCAGAAGGAAAAGGCAGCTGTGGGTTCTTCCCACTGCAGGCAGCTGTTTGTGAACAGCTGGGCAAAACCACCCCTCAAGGGCAGGGAACAATTCCTTCTCCACAACCCCCATGGGGTGGATTTCTGCCTCTTCAAGCTTTTAAAAATGAAAAAGCTTTGTTCTGTCCAATCTGGTGTGGCACAGCCACAGCTGGATGTGACACCACTCACAGCAGCTGGTGCATGCCGGGAGCACCAGGACTCACTCCTGGCTCTGTCTGTGGATAAAGAGTGAGTCCCCTTTGCCTGGGGGCGCTGGCAGGCCAGGCTCAGCTGCCCCTGATAACCACCTGTGCCATCCTCTGCTCTGAGCCCAGAGAGCTGGTGTGACCAGCACGGGGGAACGGGGGAACGGGGGGACGGGGGAACGGGGGGGACGGGGGAACGGGGGAACGGGGGAACGGGGGGACGGGGGGACGGGGGGACGGGGGAACGGGGGAACGGGGGAACGGGGGAACGGGGGAACGGGGGAACGGGGGAACGGGGGAACGGGGCCCCACAGCCATGGGGAAAGGAAGCGCGGGGTGGGGCTGCGGGAACCAGCCCGGCAGAGCAGCAGCAGGGAGGCAGCGCCACATCCCTGAGTGTGGGGCAGGATGGAACCCAAAAGGCAGCACCACATCCTTGACTGTAGGGCAGCACACATCCCTGAATGTGGGGCAGGATGGAGCCAGGGGGGCAGCTCCACATCCCTGAATGTGGGGCAGGATGGAGCCAGGGGGGCAGCACCACATCCCTGACTGTGGGGCAGCTCCACATCCCTCACTGTGGGGCAGGATGGAGCCAGGGGGGCAGCACCTCATCCCTGGCTGTAGGGCAGGATGGAACCCAAAAGGCAGCACCACATCCCTGAGTGTGGGGCAGGATGGAGCCCTGGAGTCAGGGCCTGGCGTGAGGGTCTGGACAGTGGGCAACACCCAGCTGAGCAGTTAAGTCCCCTGAGAAGGTCAGGCTCTGTAGCATTCATCAAATTAATTGAAATGTTCAGTTTAAAATCCAATTGCACTCGTCGAGACCAGCTGCAGTAAACTCGTGTTACCCCCTCAGCCCCCGGGGGATAAGCAAAGATCCATTGGCTGCTGGGAGCTCTGTGATCACCCCTGTGATCAGTGGGAACTCTGCTGCTGGAGGCCCAGGGAGCCCAGCCCCACGCCCTGGTGTCACTGTCCCATGCTGCCTGCACACCCACCCTGCTCCACCCAAAGTGCTCTCTGCGAGGAGAAATGCCTTGCTCAGAAGCTGTTGCGGTTGGTTTTCTTTCTGAGCACCCCGGCTGCCTGTGAGCTCCTTCCTTCCCCCGGCTGGGGCTCAGCAGGGCTCGGTGCTGTCACCCACATCCTGTTTGTGACTGTGGTGACAACGTCTCAGCTGTCATCCGGAGGCACCCAAAGCGTGCCCCCACCCTGCTGGGAGAGCATCACTTGTTCAGCCTGCCCTGAGCCTCTGGGGTGCTCGGGCTCCCCCAGCCTTTCCACACTCACAGGGAGTGCCTGTGTCCCAAACTGTGGCAAATTAACCCTTCGTACCTGAAGGAATCTCACCTTTGCACTCTGCAATACTTCAGGGTCCCTTTCTCAGTGCTGGAGCTGTCCATTCCCTCTGGGCCCTACAACAACTCTCACCAGATGTTCTGGTTTTTCTGCCCCTGGTTGCTTTTGCACGCCCCCACATCTGCCTTTAACGCAACATTTTGGCCAAATAGAACCAGACTCTGATTTTTTTTCTCCTTTCAGCTGGTGCTACTGGCAATGAAAAGTAAAACTCTATTTTGAGCCAGAAAATCATGGGTCATAATATTGGACCCAGAGCAGAGGGGCTCCCAGGTTGAACTGCAGGTGCTCAGTGCAGCAGCATGGACAGGGCATCAACCATGTACACACCGTGGGAGCTCCTCCCCTGACTGTCCCCCAGTGTCCCCTGACTGTCCCCCAGTGTCCCCTGACTGTCCCCCAGCCCCCTGACTGTCCCCCAGTGTCCCCTGACTGTCCCCCGTATCCCTGACTGTCCCCCATATCCCCTGACTGTCCCCCATATCCCTGACTGTCCCCCAGTGTCCCCTGACTGTCCCCCGTATCCCTGACTGTCCCCCATATCCCCTGACTGTCCCCCATATCCCTGACTGTCCCCCAGTGTCCCCTGACTGTCCCCCGTATCCCTGACTGTCCCCCAGTGTCCCCTGACTGTCCCCCATATCTCCTGACTGTCCCCCATCCCCCTCACTGTCCCCCATATCCCCTGACTGTCCCCCATTTCCCCTGACTGTCCCCCATCCCCCCTGACTGTCCCCATATCCCCTGACTGTCCCCCATCCCCCCTGACTGTCCCCCGTATCCCTGACTGTCCCCCATATCCCCTGACTGTCCCCCAGCCCCCCTGACTGTCCCCCATCCCCCTCACTGTCCCCCATATCCCCTGACTGTCCCCCATTTCCCCTGACTGTCCCCCATCCCCCCTGACTGTCCCCCAGTGTCCCCTGATTGTCCCCCATATCCCCTGACTGTCCCCATCCCCCTGACTGTCCCCCATCTCCCCTGGGTGCCCCTCATCTGTCCAGGAGCTGTGCCATATTTCCACCTACTCAATCTGTTCCACAGCAATTACAGAGGCCAGTGCTGACTCTTCTGTCTCAGCAACGCTGGTGAATCAGAGGGGTTTTGGGAACAGATTGTTTTTGTTTGGAGCTCATCTCGCAGGGCAGCTGCTGGATTTAGCCTGTGGTCTCTGAGAAGCCCAGAGAACCCTGGCACAGCAGCACCTGAGGGTACAACTGCACAGGCTGCCCGAATGAGTCACACAAGGTCTTGAATTATATTTAAAGTGCTTCCAGTTGTATTTGAAAAACATCATTAGGCTGCTTGGGCTGAACAAACAGCCTTTTCTGTGTACTGAGAGGGAGCAAAAAACCTCTTTTTGTTCACCTCTGTGCCCATGGTTATTAATCCCCACTTCACACATGCTCTCGTGTGATCCCTGCTGCCTGAAGCCTCAGCTGAAATCAATGTGAGCAGGTGTGGAGAGAGAGAGCAGGGGGAACGTGGGACCAAGGGGCAGCTCCTGCACTGGTGGGTGGGCAGGGTCCCCAGCACAGCACTCCAGGGGGGTCCCGGGATGTCACCAACCTGCCAGTGCCACCAATCCTGCTCATCCCTGCAGGACAGCCCTCTGCATCTGTTCTCTCCTGCCCCAGGGATGTCACCAACCTGCCAGTGCCACCAATCCTGCTCGGCCCTGCAGGACAGCCCTCTGCATTTGTTCTCTCCTGCCCCAGGGATGTCACCAACCTGCCAGTGCCACCAATCCCGCTCAGCCCTGCAGGACAGCCCTCTGCCCTTCTTCTCTCCTGCCCCAGGGATGTCACCAGCCTGCCAGTGCCACCAATCCTGCTCGTCCCTGCAGGACAGCCCTCTGCATTTGTTCTCCTCTGCCTCAGGGATGTCACCAACCTGCTCTGTCCCTGCAGGACAGCCCTCTGCATCTGTTCTCTCCTGCCCCAGGGAGGCCAGCCCTGCTGGGCACACAGAGCTGCTCCGGGCAGTGTCACAGACACCCCTCAGGGCTCTGCAGAGCAGCCTGGGGACATGTGCACCTCGGGAGGGTCCTTTCCACTCCACATGCCCTGGAATGGGACACTTGGCAAGACACGGGATATCAGCACCTGGCAGAGGCTGCAGCTGGTCAGACCAAGCCAGCTCTGGGTTCCTGCACCGTTTGTGCAAGGGATGCAAACCTGGCAGAGCAGTTTCATTCCAGAACGCCCTTCCCGGGCTCTCTCTGCCACATGCTCCAGGCTCCGTCCTCTTCCCGTGAGACTCTGTAACTGATTTTAGTAGAAGCACTCATTTTATTAAAGACCTTTGGAAGACACTGACTCCGGTAACAGGAAATAAATAGCTATCAACTTCACATTCAATTTAAAACTGTTATTAACAGTAAAGTTCGCTGAGGAAGTTCTGCAAAGGTTCTTCACATTTTGGAGTCACTCATTTTTCACGTTAATGAAGAGGTCCTCAGCGTGCTCTGATTGAAAATTAAAATAATTAAAGCCCCAGAGCCGTGTGACTCTGATCAGAGCTGCTGTCTGGGGCAGGGCCCTGCGGTGCCACCGCGGTGCGCCCCAGCGGGGCAGCCTCAGGCCATCGAGGGTGACACGGTGACATCAGACCCGGCTCTCTTCCTCTTCCACTGCGCGGTGGAAGCCCGGGATGAATTTCAGGAGGTGCTGCCGGACGCTGGCTCTGCGGCTCTTGCGCGGGAGGGTGCCGAAGCTGCTGGAGCAGCTGCCGCTGTCCCAGAGCGGGGACGCGGAGCCGCTGCTGGCCAGGCTGATGCTGCTGCTGGCCAGGCTGATGCTGCGGTGCCGGCGCACGGAGCCCCTGCGCACAGCCCCGTCCCTGGGGAACACGCAGTCATCGTCCAGGCTGGACTGCCGGCTCAGGCTCTCCGCGGCCCAGTCCTCGCAGGCGCTGCCCTGGTAGAAGCTGTCCTCGCTGCCCAGCGTCATGGAGCTCAGCCGGCTGCGGGAGCTGCTCTCGCTGGAGAAGCGCGGCTTGCCTGGGGAGAAGGGCCCCGGGGAGCTGCAGCCGCCAGCCGAGCCGGGCTCTCCCGGCTCCAGCGAACCCAGCAGGGCGTTGTCGTTCACCTCTCCTGGAAACCAGAGAGCAGTGTTAGCCAGAGAGCAGCGTTAGCCAGAGAGCAGCGTGAGCCAGAGAGCAGCGTGAGACAGAGAGCAGCGTTGGCCAGAGAGCAGCATTGGCCAGGGAGCAGCGTTAACCAGAGAGCAGCGTTACCCAGAGAGCAGCGTTAGCCAGAGAGCAGCGTTAACCAGAGAGCAGCGTTACCCAGAGAGCAGCATTACCCAGAGAGCAGCGTTAACCAGAGAGCAGCGTTAACCAGAGAGCAGCGTGAGACAGAGAGCAGCGTTAACCAGAGAGCAGAGTGAGCCAGAGAGCAGCGTTAACCAGAGAGCAGCGTGAGCCAGAGAGCAGCTTGGCCAGAGGGCAGCGTTAACCAGAGAGCAGCGTTACCCAGAGAGCAGCTTGGCCAGAGGGCAGCGTTAACCAGAGAGCAGCGTTAACCAGAGAGCAGCATTGGCCAGAGAGCAGCATTAACCAGAGAGCAGCTTGGCCTGAGAGCAGCATTAACCAGAGAGCAGCATTAACCAGAGAGCAGCGTGAGCCAGAGAGCAGCGTTAACCAGAGAGCAGCGTGAGCCAGAGAGCAGCGTTGGCCAGAGAGCAGCGTTGGCCAGAGAGCAGCGTTAACCAGAGGGCAGCCTTGGCCAGAGAGCAGCGTTGGCCAGAGAGCAGCGTTACCCAGAGAGCAGCGTTAGCCAGAGAGCAGCGTTAACCAGAGAGCAGCCTTGGCCAGAGAGCAGCGTTAGCCAGGGAGCAGCCTTTCCCAGAAAGCAGCTTGCCCAAAGAGCAGCGTTAACCAGAGAGCAGCTTGCCCAAAGAGCAGCCTTGCCCAGAAGGCAGCTTGCCCAAAGAGCAGCTTGGCCAGCCTGCCCCTCACCGGGGGCACCCTGACTCTGCCCTGGCAGCACCAGGAGCATCCTGCCCAACCCCTTGGCACAGGGAGCTGCCCCTTCCCACGTGGGCAGCTGCTCCTGCTTGTGAGGTGCTCCCTGCACCCTGGGCAGTCCATACAAAACCCAACCCAGCCCCTTCCCCGGTATAACCAAAATAAGAATGGAAAAAGTTTTCCCACCCACTTAAACTCCTAGCCCAGGAGTGATGCAAAGAGCCCTTGGTCAAGCAGCAGCCAGGGTCATTCCCCTCGGCACAAAAGCGTTCCCAGGCCAGGCCCTTGCCCTCCTGAGGAGGGAAGGGAAGCTGGAGATGGCAGAAGGGCTGCCCAGAAGGGCCCCACACGTACCGTGCAGCAGGAGCCGCTCCCGGGCCAGCAGCGCCCGCAGCTCCCCCCACCGCTGGTGCAGCGCCTGCTGTGGGACAGGGAACAGCTCCGTCACTCCAGGGAACTGAACAGTCTGTGCACGTGCAGGTCACACTCAGGAAACACCCGGGTGTGCCAGAGTTGGCAATTTTCTCCCAGAAAGCAGGGGTTGGCTCATGGCTGAGGCGCTCTGGCCAAAGCGCTGCCAGGTCCCGTTTGGGAAAGGAGCAGCCTGGAACCTGCCTGGAGAGCATGGACCCACCTTCACCCAGCTGAGGCAATGCCAGCGTCCTTCTGCAGCCCTGCCCAGCTCTGGAGCACCCACCAGAGCAGGCACCCCACCTCTCCTCACAGTGTGGGAACGGCACAGCCACCCCTGCCTGCCCTGGGAGCACACCTGGAAATCCTGGCAGCCCCAGTGCCACCAGCCACCCAACACCCAGCAACACTTGTATCCCTCTGCTGCAGGTCAGCTGCAGAGCTGATTAAAATTGCCAAACAGGCGAGGCCGTGCCTGGGGACAGCCACAGGAGGCACCTCCCCACAAGTCCAGTGAGCTCTCTGCAGATTCTGACCAGCCTCAGCTCACCCAGGCAGTCCTGGGATTGTGACCACATTTCTTCTCTATTCCTGGTTTCCAAAAAATAATATCAGGGGCACCAGGGCTGGGGTGGCTGGGGGTGCTGCCAGCAGGGAACCCACAGGCGTCAGCCCTTGCCAGGACCCCCTGTCCCATGGGCACCCACTGCCCCCATCAGCAGTGAGCCCACAGCCATCTCCATTTGACAGGGGAGCAAATAATTAATCCTTTTACCTTGAGAGCCCGCAGTTTGGTCTCCAGCTCCATTTTCCTCAGGAACAAGGCCCCGTTGACAGTCTCTAACCTGAGGGAAGGGTGATGCTGCCCTGAGGCACAGAGGCTCTGCCCAGCCCAGCCGTGGGATTTCTGCCCCTCAGGCACTGCAGGGCTGTGGGGCAGCAAGGTCCTGCCTTCGGTGGCAGAGGAAATGAGGCCAAACCCCATCCAAAGGAGAGACACCCACCTCAAGTAGTTCCCTGAAGACTTTATCAAGTCCACTATTTGCTTGTGGCCAAAGCCCTCGACGTTCACGCCGTTGATGCAGGTGAGGATGTGATCTGCCAGACACACACAGAGGCCAGAGTGGGCATCAGCAGCCCCTGCCCACCTCCCCTGCCCCACGGGAGCAGCCACGGGCACACAGGAGGGTCAGGAACACCCAGGGCAGTTACCAGTCTGGAGGCCAGAGAGGTGGGCAGGGCTCTCCTCTTGGATCCTGCAGACACAAGTGCACACCTCCACTGGGAAATCATTCTGGCGTGGGAACCTAATAGTCTGTGAAAGCCAAAGGGACAGAGTTACCAATCCTGGAGCCACAAAAGCCAGTTCAAATTCAGTACTTTTTCAATGAGTGCATTTCAAGTGAGTGAGATCAAAATGCTATAAACCCAACAATTAAAAATGCATTTGTGCAGCAGAAAACAGTAGACACTTAACAAGTGCCTGTAGACAGGGTTTGGGGAGGGAAGAAAAACAACAAATAAGTTTTAAAAACAGGCTGATGCCTGGTTTTTTGTTTTGTTTTGGTTTTTTTGTTTTTCTTTTTTTTTTTAAACAAAAAGTTTTACAGCAAGCTGGTTATTCAGCATTAAAAACTCTGTAACTTCAACCAAGATTATGTCAGCATGGGTGGGAATAGCTTTCTGGAAAGATGTCTCATGTTCCCAGGGGAACATGACAGGATGGGACTGGGGCTTTCCAAGGGATTGACTCCTATTCATTGGGAATGCTGTGTGGAGTCAGCTGCTGCTACCAGCTCAGTTTGCATTGGAACAGAAAAGATGGAAGATTTAAACTTAATTTTGCTCTTCTGGCCTCTGGAACTTGTCACCCACACACATCCCCACACTCCTCAAAATGCTTTTTATTCTTGACTTGCATATTTAACTGAACATTTAGTAACTCTAATAACTCTAAATCCCTCTTGTGGTTGTGGGTGCTGACATGAATTCAGAAAAATGCAAAATGCGGTGCCGCAGCCTGTCCGGATCCCATGGCAGCAGGAAACCTTTTCTGTGACATGCAAATACCACATCTGTTTCCTGGAAACCTGCGCCTGCCACTTCTAACCCAGAGACAGCTCACACTGGAGCCAGGGTGGAACAAAGGGATGGAGGCCGGGGAAGCTCAGAGCTCCTCTGGCCGAATCCCCCGTGCCTTGGTGATTCCAGCCTTTGGACTAGCAGTAAAATTGGTGCCCAAGCTAGGAGTGACGAGTGAAGCATGAGCCCCCTGCAGATGTAGGCCTAAAGCTTCACATCATCTTGTTCTGCTTTGCCTGAATTTATCTCCAATGATGGAACTGCAGCTTCTAAACATCCTCAGTAGCTGACGGGTGCTGTCTTTCTGCAGCCCGCACTTCCTATGAAGTGCTCACACTGAATGTATGTTCAGGAGGAAAACGTGCCAAGAACAATTATTTTTAATCAGAATGCCACATTTAATGAAAATCTGCCCTGACAATTTACACAAAGGCCCAATAATTGACTCAATTATCCTCCCTTCTGAAAGCTCTCCTCTGTTCATGAGCTGAGTGCTGACCCCCTCATTAGTCACAGACCCAAATTGGGCAAAGTTAAGCTTTTCCTAATACACTAATTTCACAGAAAACACTTTTTCCCTTTGTGTGCAGACAGAGGAAAGCACTTTGAAAGCGCCCTACTGCTGGCAGGCAGATCCCTCTGCTCCCAAAGTCCATCTCTTCATTGCTGGGATCATTTTCTAGCTTTACCCGGGATTTTAGCAGACCTGCTGATCAGGAGTTTCCTTTCTCACAAAAACCCACAAACACAGAATCTCCCACTAGCAGTACTTGGGTAACATTCTGGTTCTCCTACTTGATGACTTACTGACTTCTACACCAAACAGAATCTCTTCCTATAGGATTTCACTCCTGCCCCAAAAGTCATGCTTAGCAGGTATTTACGGAAAAAAATTGTACATCTTGAAAAGTACATATCTCTCTGTGCATATTAAAGGAGGTAGAAAAAAGCCAGCATAAGGTAATTTTAAGAGAGTTTTTTGATCTCACTTGTTTGAAAATATTCTCATGTACAATTCTCCCAAAAACATTCACCTATCGAGGTAAGAAGGCACTGTCATTGCCTCTTATTTGGATTTGGATGGGATTTCTCCTCCATTCAACACTTTGACTTGTGAGAAGACCAGAAATTCTTATCTATGACCTTCACTATGAAATAATCCTCGGCGAGACATCCCTGTCTTGTATGAGTGCTGCAAACCCTTTGGATTTCACAGGCTCTGGCAGACCCCTTCCTCTGCTCTGGCCTGCCTGAGCTGCTTTGGGGGATATGACACTTCACACTCTGCACCACATTTTGGTGTTAGTGAAACAACTTGTCACTTAGGTCTCACCTGGATTTCAAAGCCAAACGTCTCTTTGTCTTCTTTCAATATAGAAACAAGGTGCCTGCAGGAGGAGCACACAGAATTCATGGGAGTGTGGGGGGCTGCTCCTTGTGGGCCTCATTTCTACCCAAAACAGAGGTGTCCCCCCATTGTCCCTCCTGTGCCTGCAGGGTGTCACCATACCCTGGGGTGCCACCACACTGTCCCTCCCTGTGCCCATGGGGTGTTCACCACACTGTCCCTCCCTGTGCCTGCAGGGTGTCACCACACTGTGGGTGTCACCACACTGTCCCCTCTCTGTGCCCATAGGGTGTCACCACACCATGGGGTGTCCCCCCATTGTCCCTCCCTGTGCCTGCAGGGTGTCACCACACCGTGGGGTGTCACCACACTGTCCCTCCTGTGCATGCAGAGTGTCACCACACCATGGGGTGTCACCACACTGTCCCTCCCACGGTGGTGCTGCCTGTTCCCATGCCCAAGGCAAAGGTCACAGCTGCACCTGCCCATCCCAAATGCTGGGTACCACTCTCTGCCTTGCACCCCGATCCCACTTGGGCTGGCACAGTTCTCCAGACACACCTTTCATGCAGAACAAGCCAGGAACAGTGACTCTAGAATCACAGAATCATAGAATCATACCTCTGTGGCTTGGTGGGGTCGCCCAAGGAGCTGGATCTGGCCAAGGCGAGCTGTGAAACAGGAGAGGAAAGGCATCAGTAGGTTTGTGGTTCTTTGAGGCACACAGATAAAACCAGCAGCTTAGAGAAGAACTAAAAACAGCTGCTGCATCCCACCAACACCTCTGCCTTGGTCAAAGGAGGCCTTGAACTTTCTGACCAGGAGGAAAAGCATCTGGAGGTCAAATCCTCCTGTCAGATGCTGGCAGCAAGCTCAGAGCACAGATCACATCTCTGTTATGCCAAGAGCTCATCTCCCTTTACTCCCTTTCCTCTGAAATTCTGTGGGTGTTTACAAACTGAGCACTGCCAGGAGAGGCACAAGGCACCACCAAGGCAGGGAGTGCACACCCTGAGGCCTGCAGTGTCTGCACAGCATCTCCCAGCCAGGCCCCTGCTCAGGCCAGGGACGCGTGTGCCTGGAGAGGTCTCTGGGAAGAGCCAGGTCAAACGTGGGGTTTGCCCCTAAAAGAGGGACAGAAATAACAGTGAGATGTTTATGGTCAGCAGAGATGATGTCTCTTCAGCAGGATGAAATGGTGCCACGGTGTGACCTGCTGCAGAAACAGCCCCTTCCCGGACGTGGTGCATTCACCGCCGAGGGACAGGGGGAGGAGAGGGAGGCTGCATAATCCTACTGGGGGGAGATGAGAGGGCCTGGCGAGGCACCCCTGCCCTGGGCACAGGCCCTGCAGTGTGACCTTGGCCCTAGCTCAGCTTGGCCAGCCACAGCCCAGCACAGCCACCACCATCCCCTCGCCTCTCCCGGCTCTGGAGGGGCTGCAGGAGCTGCTGCCCCCGGGGCAGCGCCTCCAGCACCGGCTCTGCCTCTGCCTCGTCCCCTCACACACGAACCAAGGGAAGGCTCAGGGCCCTTCTGCAGCCGAGCAAAGCAAAGCCTGGAGAGCACAGCTATCGCAGCGGAGTTTCTGGTTGTACTTTCGGATCCTCACGCCCCCACAGGCACTTTCTGTTGGGGCTCGCTCGTGTCAGACAAACAGCCCTGAGCTGAGCTGCTCGGCCAGCGACTGACAGCCACAGCAGCACGGTTCTGTGGGAACCCAGGGAATTGTGCTGCCCGGCGCTGCTCTGGGGAAAAGCCCAGCGGCAGAGTCAGCCCCGGCAGCGGTACAGGAACTCCCCGGATCCACACGGAAATGGCTCGTGGTGTCATTGCTGGCAGCCTTGCGGGACAGGGCAGCCAGGCCGCCTGGCCCAGGTAAATGCACTTTTGAAGGAGCGCCCAGACAGCACAAACCCTCCCTGGCTGCCAGCAGGGCTGGAAATTGAGAGTTCAGCTGGGCCGGGCTCAGCTGCCACCGCCCTTCACAGCCCGAGCATCCCTCGCTCTGCCAGCGCTGCCAAAGCTCCCCTGCCACCCCAAACCAGCCCGCGGCCGCCCTCCCAGCCGCCCAGCCCAGCCCGGGAGCCCGGGGAGCCCGGGGGTCCGTCCCGGGCCGGGGGCTCAGCCCGTACCTGCCTGCGCCCGCGGGGCAGCGTGCCCACCGTGCTGGCCAGGTGCTGCATCCTCCTGCCGTCCGCGGGCTGCTCCTCGCAGGAGCTGAGGCTGGAGCTGGGCTGCAGGAGCCGCCGCAGGGCCATGCGGGTCTCGGGGCAGCGCCGGGCTCAGGGTGAGCGCTGCCGGGCTCGGGGTGAGCAGCGCCGGGCTTGGGGTGAGCAGCGCCGGGCTTGGGGTGAGCAGTGCCGGGCTCAGGGTGAGCAGTGCCGGGCTCGGGGTGAGCAGTGCCGGGCTCGGGGTGAGCAGTGCCGGGCTCAGGGTGAGCAGTGCCGGGCTCGGGGTGAGCAGTGCCGGGCTCGGGGTGAGCAGTGCCGGGCTCAGGGTGAGCGCTGTGGCAGGCTCAGGGTGAGCAGTGCCGGGCTCAGGGTGAGCAGTGCCGGGCTCAGGATGAGCGCAGTGCTGGGCTCAGGGTGAGCAGTGCCGGGGCTCAGGGTGAGCGCTGTTCCATGGCCGGGCTCAGGGCAGCTCCCGGGGCTCAGGGTGAGCAGTGCTGTGCTGGGCTCAGGGTGAGCAGCGCTGTGCCGGGCTCAGGGTGAGCGCTGTGCCGTGCTGGGCTCAGGATGAGAGCAGTGCTGGGCTCAGGGTGAGCGCTGTGCCGGGCTCAGGGTGAGCGCAGTGCCGGGCTCAGGGTGAGCGCTGTTCCATGGCCGGGCTCAGGGCAGCTCCCGGGGCTCAGGGTGAGCAGGGCCGGGCTCAGGGTGAGCGCTGTGCTGGGTTCAGGGTGAGCAGCGCCGGGTTCAGGGTGAGCAGTGCCGGGTTCAGGGTGAGCAGTGCTGGGCTCAGGGTGAGCGCTGTGCCGTGCCAGGCTCAGGGTGAGCAGTGCCGGGCTCAGGGTGAGCGCTGTGCCGTGCTGGGCTCAGGATGAGAGCAGTGCTGGGCTCAGGGTGAGCGCTGTGCTGGGCTCAGGATGAGCGCAGTGCTGGGCTCAGGGTGAGCAGTGCTGGGCTCAGGATGAGCGCTGTGCCGGGCTCAGGGTGAGCGCAGTGCCGGGCTCAGGGTGAGCGCTGTGCCGGGCTCAGGATGAGCGCAGTGCCGGGCTCAGGGTGAGCGCTGTGCCGGGCCCCGCTGCCCCGCTCCGAGCAGGGCGAGGGCGGAAGGGCCTCCACGTGATCTGTGGTTTAGGTGCGACTTACACAAATCCCTCCTAGCAGAGCCCCAGGCTCTCGGTGTGCCTTGTGCTCACACGGGAGTTAAGAATGGGGCTTGGCAGTTACGGAAATCTGCTTAATTTTTCCATTCCTGCGCACAGTTCTCACCAGCAGCTGCTGCTCTGCCAGGGTTTGTCCTCACAGCCCTGCCCGCCTCGGGCACTCACCTCACCTCAACCTGTTCACACTCTGACTTGCTCGGCATCCCTGGCATCCCTGCACTCACCTTTTGGCAAGGATGGGAAAGTTACCCTGCCCTCGGCTGATGGTGTCAGCGCAGTTCCTCCAGCTGCAGAGGGAAGCAGGAGCTGCAGGCCAGGAGCAGAGGCTGAGGCGTGGCAGGGCAGGGCAGGACAGTGCCCTCAGCCAGCACTCGGGTCTCAGTGGGGACCGAGGCGCGGCAGCTCTGGGAGCACACAGCAAACCCTGCAGAGCCCCCGGGGCACAGGGCACTGCCAGGGACAGGCACGGTGCCAGGGACAGCTCTGGCCAGATGCCATCCCTGCACCTTTCCTGCATGGCCAGGGCTCGAGGAAGATCGATGGCTCTGACAACTTCTGGCTGAGTTGGTTTTTCTCTCCACTTATTACCTGACCTGTTGTTACTTCAGCGTGGCCTTGAAGAGCCTTCAGATTTTCTGCTCCTGGACGTGATGGAGAAGCACAGGCAGCAGCCCTGGGCTGGGGGGTCACTGGAGTGGGTGCCTGTCCCTGCTGCCCCTCAGTCACAGGTCAGCAGTGCAGGAGGGCAGGCGAGCCCTGGGCAGAGCAGTTTGCAGCCCTGGCAGCCACCAGCCAAGCCCTAAACACCCACGGAGCCCTGGCACCAGCCCTGCAGCCACAGCTGGAGCCCTGTGTCCCTGTTCCTGGACATGGCCCCGTGTCCCTGTTCCTGGACACGGCCCCATGTCCCCACTGCTGGACATGGCCCTGTGTCCCTGTTCCTGGACACGGCCCCGTGTCCCTGTTCCTGGACATGGCCCTGTGTCCCTGTTCCTGACACAGCCCTGTGTCCCAGCTTCTGGACACAGCCCCATGTCCCTGTTCCTGACACGGCCCTGTGTCCCTGTTCCTGGACATGGCCCCATGTCCCCACTGCTGGCACTGCTGGCTGGCAGTGACCTGCAGCAGCTGCTGCCACAGGCTGGCCATCCCGACAGACACTCACTGGGACAGCTCTTGTTGGGACAAACACCAGGGGCAGTAAGTGCACAGAGCAGCCAGACCTGGACACAAGTAACCCTGGCCGGGATGTGAGCCTGCAAGGGGAAAAGCAGGGTTCCTGTATCAAAACAGAGAAGTAATAAAAACATACAGGTTGCTGTCATTTTTCTGAGTAGAGACCTTTTATGTGCCTCGATGAAGTATTGCCACACACACCTGGGACTGCCAGCTCCAGGAGGAAAGGCTGGCAGGGCCCAGGCAGGAGAGGGGGCAGCCAGGACTGGGGCTGAGGGTTGCTGGCTTGGCCTGCCAGCTCTGTGGAAGCTCAGTGCAGGCTGGCACAGCAGATCAAGGCAGAGCTGCTCTGCACCTTCTGTAAGGGCCCTGCCTCTGCCAGCTGCAGCAGAGGAGCTGCAGGATGGGTGTCCATGGAGGAGGTGCCTACACTGGCTGGTGCAGATGAGCTCTTCGTGCCAGGGCATCCCCTCATTGCCCTGGATGGCTGAAGTGTCAGTACAAACCCATCCTAAAGGTTCATCCCTCAAAAACCCAGCATCTCAGGGCAGAGAAGCAGCCTGTCAGGAAACATCTGCTCCTCCCACCTGGAGGAGGGCTGGTGGCTGCGGTCCCTGTGCCTCTCCTGGCGGACAGACAGCGACAGGGAAGTGCTGCACACAGCAGCACCACCACAACGGATTCAGATGTCTGTGCTTCACCTCCTAGCTCCTTGGGAGAACCCCTCCGGGCTAAGGGGAAGAAAAACGATGTTCAAAAAGCACAGCAGGCAAGGGGGAAAGCTCTCTCCCTTTTGCTGAGAAAAATATCTGCACCCCTGGGTGTCATCTGCTCACTTGCCAAGGCACGGTGACCAGCGCGGGGAGCGGGTGACTCAAAGCCTCTTCCCCTTTTCCTGCTCACGGTCACCCCGCTGAGTGCTTGAAAACAAAGCGCGTTTCGCTTCCTCCGGCAGCCCTTTCTGACGTTCCTGAAACCCAGTGATTCATCTGCAAACTAGCTGAGGGCAGAAGCAAACGACACCTCTCATCAGAGCACAAAGCAGGACCTTGGTGCGAGCTGCTCCAGCAGACCCGTTACCCTGTGCTGCTCTGCGCCCTGCATCCCCGGCAGGCATCACTCATCCCCGGCAGGCATCACTGACCCCCGGCAGGCATCACTCACCTCCGACACGCACCCCTCAGCCCCTGAAAGCGCCCCCACACCCCCGGCACCCATCCCTCCCGGCCCGCCTGCTCCTCCTCGGCAGGGCTCGGAGCTGCTCGGGGCCGGTTCAGGGGCAGAGCAGCCCGGGCAGGGCTCACAGGTGCCGGTTCAGGGGCAGAGCAGCCCCGGCAGGGCTCACGGTGCCCGGTTCAGGGCAGAGCAGCCCCGGCAGGGCCTGGAGCCGGTTCAGGGGCAGAGCAGCCCCGGCAGAGCTCACGGTGCCGGTTCAGGGGCAGAGCAGCCCCGGCAGGGCTCACGGGGCCGGTTCAAGGGCAGAGCAGCCCGAGCAGGGCTCACGGTGCCCGGTTCAAGGGCAGAGCAGCCCGGGCAGGGCTCACAGTGCCCGGTTCAAGGGCAGAGCAGCCCGGGCAGGGCTCACAGGTGCCGGTTCAAGGGCAGAGCAGCCCGGGCAGGGCTCACGGTGCCCGGTTCAGGGCAGAGCAGCCCGGGCAGGGCTCACGGTGCCCGTTCAAGGGCAGAGCAGCCCGGGCAGGGCTCACAGGTGCCGGTTCAGGGGCAGAGCAGCCCGGGCAGGGCTCACGGTGTCCGTTCAAGGGCAGAGCAGCCCCGCAGGGCTCACGGTGCCGGTTCAGGGGCAGAGCAGCCCCGGCAGGGCTCACGGTGCCCGGTTCAGGGCAGAGCAGCCCCGGCAGGGCTCACGGTGCCGGTTCAGGGCAGAGCAGCCCGGGCAGGGCTCACGGTGCCCGCGGTGGTCACACACGGATGCCCTGCCCCAGCCTCCTCCCGGGCACGGCGCTGGTTCTGTGCCAGGGCTGGAGCCGTGGGGCTCAGCCCTCCTCCAGAGCAGGCTGCTCCTGCCCGGCCCAGCCCGGCCCTGAACGCTTCCAGGGATGGGGCACTCATCCCTCCGAGGCTGCAGCGCCCGCAGGGAGTCTGCCCACAGCGCCTTGCCCGGACAAAGGAAGGAGCCATCCTCCCTCGGTGGGCGCAGCCCTCGGGGGCCCAGGAGCCGCTCCCCTCCTCAGCTGCCAGGCGCACACCGGGGGCTGCTGCGGGGTTGATTGACTCGGCAATAAGAACCGGGGAATCAGGCCCTGCTCAGCCCCCGCACCGAGCGGTGCCCCCAGGATGGCAGCCCCGAGGGCCGGGATGCGCAGCTGGGGCACCCAGGGCAGAGGCATCACCCGCCTCCACCTTCCCAGGTGTGCTGGAACAGAACGAACCCGGGGGGCGGAGATGCCCCCGGTGCTGGAAGGGCAGCGCTCCGGAGCCGTGGCCAGGGGATGGCAGCCGATGCTCACCGTAAGCTCTGCGGGACCCCGACTGCCGGGGCACGGCCACCGCCGTGACAGCGACACCGCCCTGGACGTGGGCAGGGAGCAGAGAGCCCACGAGTCATGGCTACAAGGCAAAGGTCTGTTTTGGTTAAAAACAAAACAAAAAAAACCCCACAGTACCCTTCAAAAGCCACTGAGCTTTCTTGGGTCACAGCTCATCAGATTTCATGTTGACGTGCCTTAAGTTAAAATAAGTCTGACTTAAATTCCTGGATTATGGCTGTGTCAGGGGAATTTTCAAGCATTCACACTCCAGAATTGAGTGTCAGGGTGAGCTGGTCCCACTCAGATTTGCACCACTGAAAATCTCACTAGGGGGAAGAGCAGGATCAGGGAGTGCTGGATGAAAGGGAGCTCAGGGACAGCTCACACTGCTGTGGGTGCAAGAGCCACGAGGGAAGGGTTCCACAGGCTCAACCCTTCTCCCCTCACACAATCAAAATTAGAACAATTTCAGGCCACGGGAGCACAAGGGCAGAGTATGCCGAATTTATTAAAATTGCCACGTCTTCCCCAAATTGCATACAAAATACAACAGCTAAACCATTATTTACATCCAGGCAGCTGCAATATCAAGCAATAACTTTAGCAATAGTTTTAAAAATAACTCTGAAGTGTACACAGATCAGATATTTCACAACACGAGAGTTGAAGTGAGCATTGCACTGCTATACTTAGTTCAGAAATATTACAGTGTTCCAGATAAAATACTCACACTTCTTTTAAAAACAGACACTGAGGAAGTGGTTTGTAGATTGACAAAACATGACACGTTTTTCCTGGGACTGAGAATCACAGCAGGCTTAGACACAATGTCATAGCTACATTCAAAACACATCTGGTCCATTTATGCCAAAAATACATTCAGTGTAAGTTACAATTTATTGCACATTTCTTATATTCTGTAGAAATATATTGTACCTCGATGCTTATTCCCTGTACATTCATAAATGTTGCTCTGCCCATTAGAGCAGAACGTGCACATCTTTCCCTAAAGGTTTTGTGGGTTGGGGTCCCACAGCCTGTGGGGACGGTCCCTGGGACCACAGAGGAGGGGACAGACATGCAGGGCTGCTGGGGGCTCCCAGGGATGGCCCAAGGACCCCCCAGGACACCCCCACAGACCCATAGCAGGGGTTGGGCCATAACCTTCACCAACACCCAGAGGCTGTGCCCGTCCCCTGCACCCAAAGGAGGTGCCCAGCGTGTGCCCACCTGCAGCCCCCGGTGCCACCCTGGCCCTGCCCTGCGATGCTGCCCCCAGGCAAAGCCCAAACTCCTCCTTCCCATGAGCTGGGGCAGCCTTGAGCCCATCCTGGCACAGGAGCTCGAGGGACTGGGGAGAACTTGCCCTGCTCAAACCCACTGTGGGGACTGGGCACACTTCTAAACTCATTTATTCATAATTCCTGAATCTAGTACCAAGCAAAGTGACACAGCAATTACTAAAACATTGTAGGACTCTTTATAGTGTCATGTGAGGGAATGAGCTTGATTAAGTGCAAATTATAAAAGTAGGGAAGTGCAGAGAAGATCACAGCCTGAGTTTCTAAAGGAGTGTGTGGGGGCAGCAGTTCAAGTAATACAAAAAAAAATAGGTGTTACAGGAAACATTAATGAACTTTCCCTTTCAGTGCATAATCCCTACATTAAACTTTAGATTGTTATTAGAAGCAAATTATAAAATATTGGTTATTCCCCCCCAGTTAGAAGCATCAATTAGGAGAAGCTGAATGTGGTAACAGGTTTTGAGCATCCTTGACCTTGAAAATTTTCATGACCTTAGGAACTTTTGCTTTAAGTGAAAATTACCAGGAACATTGTGACCTCTGAGGAAACCTAAGCCTCCCTAAACTGCACAGAAGTGTCTTGGCATAACCTCTGTGCTTAAACTAGACCAAGACAAACCCACAGGGAGGGGAAAGACCACTAAAACAAGGGTTCTTTGGAGTTTTTCTAAAGGACTGTAGAGTTTACAAACATTTCAGAGCTCAACACAACATCAGCCCCTTGGCTCAGTTACGCACAACTCCAATTCATCAAAATGTACATTCACCTCTCAACAACAAAAGAGAAAAGAAAACCAGAGCAAAAATACTGAGTTGGGTGAAAAGCCAGGGCAAACAGACTGTAATGTCTGATGCCAAGAGCTGTGTCCAGGGAAAAGGTTAAAGCACTTCTGGGGCTGGAGCTGTGACCTGTGTGAGCAGTAGCTGAGCCTGAGCATCCTCCACCCACACTTCCCAGCCAGGCACCAGCAGGGTCTTGTTCAAATTACTGGGCTGGTCAACAATTGTCAGAGACTCCAGGGGAGAAACTGAAACTATTTTCCCACTTAAAAAAAATAAAGCTTTGATTCTTCCTTTCTAAGATAAATGTGTTCTTGTACATACTACAAGAACAGATGCTGGATCTTAGCTTTGCAATTTTTTTTGATAGTCAAGCCAGCACCAGGCTTTGGATCCTGCAGCTGCCCAGATCACCCCTCCAACAGCCTGCAAAGCCACATCACTGAGCTCCACGGGGAGTTCCTGCACTTGAAGCACACAAGAATTGAATCACGGAACCCCAGAATGGTTTGGGTCAGCAGAGACCTTAAAGCTTGCCTCGTTTTACCTCCCAGGGACACCTTCCACTGGACCAGGCTGCCCCAAGCCCCATCCAGCCTGCCCTGGATCCCTCATTCAGCCTTGGTTAGGTGTGAGAAGCCGCCCTGCAGCAGCACTGGCAGCAGAGGAGGGGAGCAGGATGCAGGGCTGGGCTGCAGTGGAGGGAAGCAGGATGCAGTGGAGGGGAGCAGGATGCAGGGCTGGGCTGCAGTGGAGGGGAGCAGGATGCAGTGGAGGGGAGCAGGATGCAGGGCTGGGATGCAGGGCTGGGATGCAGTGGAGGGGAGCAGGATGCAGTGGAGGGGAGCAGGATGCAGGGCTGGGCTGCAGGGCTGGCTGCAGCTCTCAGAGCCCTGCAGGCTGAATCTCAAGGTGCCCAAAGCCACCCACGGCCTCCTGAGGGCGAGGACAGCAGGTGAAACCGGAGCAATGGATGGCACCACTGACCCTGCACTCAGTAAAAGTTTAACACCTCCTTCCCTGCAACAGCTGCAGTGAAGAGACTTTGCGCCAACAGCTCCTGCCACGGAGCTGCAGGGGCCACACCGGATTTCTGCAAAGCTTTGCTATTCTGGAAACATCTTCAGGATTAATTCCCATGGGCCAGATGGATTTAGAAACATGTAAATAGCCAATTAAGAATACTCCAACACTACATTCAAATATGCAGGCCATGGAGTGGGTGAAAATTCACAAAATGCCAGAACTTTGTTGAATTTTAACATAGCAACTCACGTTGCTGGCTTCTGATATTATGGACACCTGGTCAGAAATGTAAATATTCATCACCAGCCTCATGCTGTTACAGAATTCTGTAAAAAAACTCTGAACACGCTGCACTGGCTTTTGTTAAAGCTTCCCCTTAATACATCAAAAGGCACTAAAAAAATGCTGCCAGTGATTGGAAAAACATTGCTAAAAATAAATATTTTCTCAGTTTAGGTAGAATTTCTCCTGTTTCATCCCTTCACAGCTAACAGGAAAGTGTTGCCTCAATTATTTTTCCTAACAACTGTTAAAAGGAAAAGTTGTCCCTTGATTGATCTGTTCAATGAACAAAAGAGAGAGTAAAACAACTCAATTTTTAACCATGATATTGTATGTGAAATTGAGACAATAAAAATAAATGTTAATAGGGAACTGACTCAATGGTTTTGCTCACAGTGTACACACTTAGTGGAAATTTCATCTTTTCTAATTGCTTGGTTAATTATAAATATAGTAATTCAAAATGCATTTACTGACAACCACTTTTCAGATCCCTGAAATAAAATTGAAAAAAAAAAAAAAACAGGTAAAAAAGCTGGGTTAATTTGGTCTTTTACTTGGTTTGAGGACAGAATACGAGGTTTGTCTCACAAACAGGCTTAAACCAACACCAGACACTTCCAGGACGTTTGGGGTCTGACAGGGATGAAAAGCACAACAGCAAAAGGTATTTTTACACTGCCATGATGATTGAAGCTCCTTCCTGCCATTCACCGGTGTCTGATTTACCGAAAAAAGCCAGAGCAAGTCACGGACTTGCTGTACCAAACCCCAGCTGTGAGCGCCGAGCTGCCCGGTGCCAGGGCTGGGTGCCGCCTCGGGCACCGCAGCGCTGACCGCGCCGTCTGAGGTAGAGCAGAAACAACAACACAGCCACACCTGTGGGGAGCCAGCGGAGGCCCCTCATCCCCCTCGTCCCGTGGGGCTCAGGCCTTGCAGTCCTCGGGCGCGCAGAGCTGCGAGATGGTTTTCTTGACGCGCAGCGCCGTGAGACGCGCGGCACCGCTGGCGCGCCAGCACTCCCGCATCAGCCGGCCCAGCACCCGCAGCGCCTGCCGGACACCAGCGGGCACTCAGCAGGGGCTGGGGACAGGGACTCGGCACCCCAGGAATGGGCACTGACAGGGCTGGGGACAGGGACTCGGCATCCCAGGGAATGGGCACTGACAGGGCTGGGGACAGGGACTCGGCATCCCAGGGAATGGGCACTGACAGGGCTGGGGACAGGGACTCGGCACCCCAGGGAATGGGCACTCAGCAGGGGCTGGGGACAGGGACTCGGCACCCCAGGAATGGGCACTGACAGGGCTGGGGACAGGGACTCGGCACCCCAGGAATGGGCACTGACAGGGGCTGGGGATGGGAATAGACACTGACAGGGCTGGGGATGGGAATGGGAATGGGTACAGACAGGGGCTGGGCATGGGAACGGGAATGGGCACAGACAGGGGCTGGGGATGGGAATGGGAATGGGCACAGACAGGGGCTGGGCATGGGAACGGGAATGGGCACAGACAGGGGCTGGGGCTGGGAACAGAGTCAGCACTGACCAGGCTGGGGACAGAAATGGGAACGGGTACAGACCAGGACTGGGGACAGGGACAGAGCACGTACAGACAGGGTGTGGGGACAGGGATGGCACCGGGTACAGACAGGGGCTGAAGACAGAGACGAGGCTGGGAACAGACTGGGTGTGGGGGACAGAGACAGGAACGGGTGCAGACAGGGGCTGGGGACAAAGATGAGACCCGGGTACAAACAGGGACTGGGGGATAGAAATGGCACCAGGTACAAACAGGGACTGGGGAGAGAAATGGGACCAGGGTACAGATAGGGGCTGGGGGATAGAAATGGCACCCAGGTACAAACAGGGTCTGCAGGAGGACAGACAACAGCCAGAGATACAACCACCACCCCCTGCTTTCCATTTTTAATACAGGGAGATAAAGTGCAGTGCTCTGAAACAGTGACAGAACAGCAGCAGCATCAATTAAGACCTGCCTTGAACAGCATCAAGCACTTGGTGCAGAGAGTTTTTTCTGTATTGATCTGAAGGACAGCTAGACATATGAAGCTTCTAAATTCAGGAGAAGCTGGGCACTGAGTGCCCTATCTCTCACTGAAAAGTTCTGTCTTGATTTAAACTTGAAAATATAAATAATAAAATAAAACTAGAAAAAAAACCCCTACAAAATAAACCTAGAATAAACTAGAAAATTGTTTTTACCTCACAGCTTTGCCACTGGTTTGGAATACTTGGTCTGAGCTTCTGTTCACAGACAACCCTTCTCATATCTTCTATCGAAGGATCAGAAGGCACAAGGTCGTAGTAAGGCAGCTGGTATTCCTCGGTGATTCCTGGGAAGATGCACCATTGTGTGGGTGCCCATGGCAGGGGTGGAATGAGGAGGGCTCTACTGTCCCTCCCAACCCAAACCCAGCTGGGACTGGGTGAAAGGCCAAAGCCTCACCTCCAACGGAGCACCTCCGGGCTATCTCCCAGTACACCAGCCCCAGGGAGTAGATGTCTGCCCGCTTGAAGGACTCAAAGATGTTCGTGTTCATCGCATCCTCCAGGATCTCGGGGGCCATGTACCTTTGGGGCACACAGGGTCACTTTGCTGGGGCAGCTCCCACCAAAGGCCACAGCTGTGCTGCCACGTGCCCGTGGGAGCCCTGTGAGCCCTCGTGATGCTGCAGCTGTGCCCTGCCCAGCCCAGAGTGCCATGGTGACCAGGGTGACCAGCACATGAGGCCTCACACGGGGCAGAGAGCTCCATCCATCCACAGCAGGACCTGCAACATCCCCCACCCACCCAGCCTCCCTCCCTCCCCACCAGGGCTGTGGCCATCCCTGCCCAGTGCCAGGGCAGAGGGGACGTGGCTGATGGGGACAGGGCTGTGAGGGGCCATGCCCAGGGACTGCAGTGCCTGACCCATCCCCAGGGACTGCAGTGCCTGACCCATGCCCAGGGACTGCAGTGCCTGACCCATCCTCAGGGACTGCAGTGCCTGACCCATACCCAGGGACTGCAGTGTCTGACCCATCCCCAGGGACTGCAGTGCCTGGCCCATCCTCAGGGACTGCAGTGCCTCACCCACCTCCAGGTGCCCACACAGGGGTTCTGTGGGATGTTCAGGGGGCGCAGTGCCTGACCCACCTGCGGGTGCCCACATGGGGGTTCTGGCTGATGTTCAGGGGGTGCAGGGCCTGACCCATGCCCAGGGACTGCAGTGCCTGACCCACCTGCAGGTGCCCACGCGGGGGTTCTGGGGGATGTTCAGGGACTGCAGTGCCTGACCCACCTCCAGGTGCCCATGCAGGGGTTCTGGGGGATGTTCTGGGGGTGCAGTGCCTGACCCACCTGCGGGTGCCCACGCCGGGGCTCTGTGGGATGTTCTGGGGGTGCAGTGCCTGACCCATCTGCGGGTGCCCATGCAGGGGTTCTGGCTGATATTCAGGGGGTGCAGTGCCTGACCCACCTGCGGGTGCCCACATGGGGGTTCTGGCTGATATTCAGGGGGTGCAGTGCCTGACCCACCTGCGGGTGCCCACGCGGGGGTTCTGGGGGATGTCGATGGTGTTCAGCACCGAGTCGTGCTTCACGGCCAGGCCCAGGTCGGCGATGGCGCAGGTCTCGTTCCTCTTCACCAGGATGTTCTTGGATTTCAGATCCCGGTGAGCGATCGCTGGCTTCCCTGCTCGCAGCAAGAGAAACCGCCTCCAGTTTTGGTAACAACAGTGTGGATTTTAATGCAAGGAGCAAGGATGTAAAAACAGTTTTATTCACTTTTGTTACTGTACCCTATAGAAATATTGAAGCCTATTTTGAACCAAGAAAAGCTCTGCTAAATGTTCTCAACTTCAAAAGAAAACTTTAGGGGCATTTTTTTTTTCAATATCTGTATTTCAGGAATAAAACACAAAAGGAGAAACTGGAAGTTCACCGTCCAAATTTGTTTAGAAAATTACTGAATCACTGAATGGATTGGGTCAGAAAAGCCCTCTAAGACCACTGAGTCCCACCATTCCTCAGCACTGACAAGGACACCACTAACCCATTTCTCCAAGTGCCCCATCCACACAGCTTTTGACCCCACCACTGCCCAGGGCAACCTGTGCCAGGGCTGGGCAAACCTCCCCATGAAGAAATTTCTCCAAGTTTTTCCTTCATTAGCACTCACTCCCCTTCAGCAGAGCTACTTCTGTAGGCATCTCTTTGGAGGCACGGACAAAGCACAGACAGTGGACGTGGGAAGGGAGCGTCCCTCTCCCCTGTCTGCACTGCACCACTCTCACCCACACTGTTCCCCCTGGCGTCAGCAGCTTGGAAAACGCTTCACGGCACCACGCCGCCCATGAACGCTTTTGAGAGCACCGAGGCTCCTTAAAGCGCTGTAGGGAAAGCGGGAGGGCAGCACTTGCCTTGCGTGCCGACGATCTCCATGTGGAGGTGAGCCAGGCCGCTGGCCACGGACAGTGCCAGCCTGACCATGCCCTCCACGGTCACCGTGCCCCTGTTCAGGTAGTCAAACAGAGAGCCCTGCTCGTGGTACTCGGAGACAAGCCACAGCTGAGTCCACGTCCCATTATCTAGCCAGAGGAAGCAGGAGTATTAGGAATTGTGAAAAATGCATGTATTTTATGATCGGCTTTTCACAAATATTGAATATTACATGTGTCGTGTTAGAAAGTGATGCTGTATTAATTCTCTTAAGTAGTGTGTTAAATATAGTTTTAGGTTATAAAAAAATGTTAAAGTAGAAACTATGCTATGAAGGATGCTTATTTTAAAGAAAGGACTCGCAGCAAGATAGCAGCCACAGGACATGAAGGCACTGTCAGGATTCAGAGGAAGAAGTTGATGATGACCAGACAGAATCCTGTGTTTGAATGGAATTTATGTATCATGTATGAGGTGTATGAATATGCAGCAGGCTGTTGCTTTTAAGGGTTAATCCTCTGTTAACCTGTGTCCTTTTTCGGGCTCGTGCTGCCCAGAAAAAGGTACTTGGACGTGCATAACTCTTTGTCTTTATTGTCTCATATTGTCCTAATTCAAATTGTCCAAATTATTATTACCCTAATTGTATTACTATTTTTATAACCATTTTATTACTATTAAACTTCTAAAATTTCAAAAACAAGTGATTGGTGTTTTTCACAGAAATGTTAGCCAGGGAAAGCCTTCCCCTTTTTGGGGAATGCCAGCAGGGAGGTGAGCCAGGGAAGAGCCCAGGGCTGTGTTTCAGATGGAGCTGGGGCAGCAGAAGCTGTGCTGGGACAGTCACTCAGGATTCTGTGAGTGCCACCACTGGGGCTGGGAGGCACTCCAGGACCACGGAGTCCAACCATCACCCAGCCCAGCCCACAGAATCAGAGCTGCTAGGGCTGGCAGGGCTGTGATGGTGTTCAGAGGGGTTCTCGGATGAGGTAAGAGACGAGGATCTGACTCCATGTTTCACAAGGCTGATTGATTATTTTATGATATATATTACATTAAAACTATGCTAAAAGAATAGAAGAAAAGGTTCTCATCAGAAGGCTGGCTAAGCTAAGAATAGAAAGGAAAGGAATGATAACAAGGGCTTGTGGCTCAGACAGAGAGCCTGAGCCAGCTGAGCTGTGATTGGCCATTAATTAGAAACAACCCCATGAGCCCAATCCCAGATGCACCTGTTGCATCCCACAGCAGCAGATAACCATTGGGTACATTTTGTTCCTGAGGCCTCTCAGCTTCTCAGGAGGGAAAATCCCAAGGAAAGGCTTTTCCATAAAAGATGTCTGTGACACAGAGCCGTGCCGGAGGCAGGCAGCCCCCGTGCTGCTCACCCTTGTTGTCGGCAGCGATGAAGCCCAGGATGTTCTCGTGCCTCAGCATCACTGTCTGGTAAATCTCTGCCTCCCGGAACCAGGACCGCTCGTCTCTGGAGGAGAAGATTTTCACAGCCACGTCCTCCCCGCACCATTTCCCGTGCCACACTTCCCCAAACCGTCCTTTGCCCACAATCTCCTGCAGCACAATGGTCCTGGCGATGGTTCTCTGGACCAGCAGAGGCAGGCCTGGAGAAAAAGAGAGGCTTTTGTGAAATGGCTCAGCTGGGACCTGAAACCCCAGCACTGCCCTCTCCCAGTGAGCTGCACCCATGGCTTTGCTTCCCAACCATGCCAAGGGAAAATCCTCTCCCAACCAGTATCTCCTCAAATCAAACTTTTTGATGTTACTTCCCAGTGTCTGTACATAGAAAAAAGTTGTTAAAACCCCAGTAAAAATCTTGAAATTTGGCCCAAGCTACTCCATTTGGTTTGATACAGACTGCAACTGTCCTGCAGTCGATCAGTTGTTCTACTCTAGCTGAAATTTTTGAAAATAAAAATAAATCATTATAGCAGCTCCACTGTGCTTTGCCAGCCACACACTTTGCCTGGTTTGATTTAATTCCGTATTTGTTGGGGACTTAAAACAAGGGGGGTTTGGGGTTTTTTTTGTTTTTTGGGGTTTTTTTTAATAACTGCAACCTTGATTTTGGCTGAAGTCACAACAAACCATCCCGGTGCATGGGGCTCTGGCTCTGCTCGAGTCCAGCCCTGTTCCTGGCTCAGGGATGGCTGGGAACAGTTAAAAACTTCAGCATAAATAACGCCAAAGTCTGCTCATTAGAGCTGTGAAAAGGCATTGGGGAAGAACAACAACTTAATCCTCAGAGGTATGCAGCTCATGGAAATAAATTAAATCAGGCACCATTTGTGCATTTTTCACTTACAAATAAAAGCAAGCATAGTTTACATACTTTTCAATAAAAGCTCTAGTTAGGGAAAGTTGGGCTGTACATCACTGGTCAAATGAGCTGGAATTGGTGAATTCCCACCTCATTTTTAGGTTTCTTTGGTTTAACAAGTTCTCAATAGCAATGGAGGCGTCACAGTAGAAATGGGGAAAATGTTTAAAATATGAATGTTCTGCTCAAAACAAGAATTTGGAAGAACATTATTCTGCTATTAAACACAAAAACAAAATTGGGAAGCAGCATCCTGAGCCACTCAGGTGAGCTTAGCACCTTCCATTATCTGCCACGTTGCATGGGCCGGCAGCGCTGGGTTTCACACTCGGTTCTGATTTCCGAGCTCCCTTTTTTAACGCCTCCATTCCGACAGAGAACCGAATTTCTGTGGTCGGGCAGAGGCGGAGCCGCACGGGCGCAGCGGGGGCGGCCGGGCCCGCACCTACCGGAGCCGGAGCCGGAGGTGGTCATGTCCGAGATGAGGTCCTTGAGCGTCTTGCCCGTGCCCGCCAGGCTGCCCTCGCACAGCGGCTCCTCCACGTTGGGCGGGCGGCGGCGGCAGCCCCGGGCCGAGCGGGCGAGCAGCGCCGCCAGCAGCGCCAGCAACGCGAGCGGCACCGCCACGGCCGCCAGCAGCGCCGCCCGCAGCCGCCCCGCGCCGCCCGCAGCCTCTGCTGCTGCTGCTGCTGCGGGACAGACAGACAGACAGACAGACAGGGTGACACACGGACCGAGCGGCACCGCCCGCAGCCGCCCCGCGCCGCCCGCAGCCTCCGCTGCTGCTGCTGCGGGACAGACAGACAGACAGACAGGGTGACACACAGACCCGAGCGGCACCGCCCCGCACCGCTGCTGCTGCGGGACAGACAGACAGACAGACAGACAGACAGGGTGACACACGGACCGAGCGGCACCGCCCGCAGCCTCCGCTGCTGCTGCTGCTGCGGGACAGACAGACAGACAGACAGGGTGACACACGGACCGAGCGGCACCGCCCGCAGCCTCCGCTGCTGCTGCTGCGGGACAGACAGACAGACAGACAGACAGGGTGACACACGGACCGAGCGGCACCGCCCCGCGCCGCTGCTGCTGCTGCGGGACAGACAGACAGACAGAGTGACACACGGACCGAGCGGCACCGCCCGCAGCCGCCCCGCGCCGCCCGCAGCCTCCGCCGCTGCTGCTGCGGGACAGACAGACAGACAGACAGACAGAGTGACACACGGACCGAGCGGCACCGCCCGCAGCCGCCCCGCGCCGCCCGCAGCCTCCGCCGCTGCTGCTGCGGGACAGACAGACAGACAGACAGACAGGGTGACACACGGACCGAGCGGCACCGCCCGCCGCCTCCGCCGCCGCTGCTGCGGGACAGACAGACAGACAGACAGAGTGACACACGGACCGAGCGGCACCGCCCGCCGCCTCCGCCGCCGCTGCTGCGGGACAGACAGACAGACAGACAGACAGGGTGACACACGGACCCGAGCGGCACCGCCCCGCGCCGCCGCTGCTGCGGGACAGACAGACAGACAGACACTCGGGAGAGTGACACAGGGGCTACAGGGACCCGCTGGGCTGGGACACCGCCGCGGTCACACAGTCCCACAATTACAGAATCACACAATCACATAGATCACACAGGATCATGGATTCACATGGAATCGCAGCCCCTGCCGCCGCTGCTGCTGAGACAGACAGACAGACACACCAGGACAGTGACACAGCAGCGTGACACAGGGACCCGCTGGGCTGGGACACCGCAGCCGTCACACAGTCATGGGCTCACACAGGATCACACAATCAGATTCACACAGGATCACACAATCACACAGGATCACACCATCACAGTTTCACACAGGATCACACAATCAGATTCACACAGGATCACACAGGAACACAGATTCACACAGGATGACACAGAATCACAAGGAATCACACAGAATCACAGATTCATACAGAATCACACAATCACTGAATCATAGATTCATACAGAATCACACAGAATCACACAATCACAGATTCACACAATCACAGATTCACACAATCACAGAATCACACAATCACAGAATCACACAGTCACTGGGTTGGAAGAGACCTTCAAGCTCATCGAGTCCCACCCAACAGCTCAACTCAACCCTGGCACCCAGTGCCACACCCAGGCTTTGTTAAACCCACCCAGGGATGGTGACCCCACCACCTCCCTGGGCAGCCATTCCAGAACTTTATCACCCTTTCTGTAAAAAACTCTTTCCTAATATCAACCTATATTTCCCTTGGTGCAGCTTGAGGCTGGTACCTCTGGTTGTGTCAGTGCTGCCTGGAGAAAGAGACCAACCCCACCTGAGCACAACTCCTTTCAGAAAGCTGCAGAGAGTGACAAGGTCACCCCTGAGTCTCCTTTCCTCCACTCGATGCTTTCCCACCATGGTCCTGGCCAGGAGACAGGACAGCCAGAACAGACCACATGTCTGTAAGTGATGGAGCTTTTCCCCCACACACCTTCTGTTCTGGTCTCAGGCCAGCATTCTGACCACCACCCAAGGAGCTCGATATCAAGAAGCTCTAGGAAGACACTGCTGAGGGATTCACTTGCACAGGAACACACACACAGGATTCTTTCCATGTCCCCAAAATTTGAAATAAGTTTAAAAGAAAAATCAACCAGTGCTTTCCCCTGAAATGAAACAAACCAGAAATATGACCCATAAAAAAACCCTCAACACTCAGAACCGTGAGTACAAATGAGATCTCGGAGCTGCAGCAGATGTAAGGATAACAAACTCCACCCCATGCCAGGTTACTCCTTCCCTTCAGGGAGAAGCTGGGCCTCAAGTACACCTTAACCTGGAGTCTGAGAGTGACCACGGTGATGTGGGGTCTCAAAGGCAGCAGCAAACAGGCTCAGCACCCACTGCTTCCTTCCTGCAGTCAATACCACACGTCTGTTCACCAGAGCAACCCCAACCCTCCTGAGCACAAAGCTGGTACATTTTGTTCACAGGTTTTCCCTTTGAGGCCTTCAAGAGGCTGCTCCAGGGGTGATCCAGGAAGTTTGTAAGAGGATTTATGAGCAGGATTCCTCCTTGGAACTGCTGCTTGTTAACTGACATGGCAAGCATCTCCTAAACCCTTTTCATTCTGTTTCCATGGGGCTGAGGTTTCCCTGAAACAGGGATGGAGAGCAACACAGAGGGATCCCCTACCCCAGGAGCTCTGGCACCTCACTGAGGCAGCCCTGCCACCCCAGAGTGTGCAGGGGACACTGTGTGGGACAGCAGGAGTGGCTCTGTGCAGGGGACACTGCAGGACAGGCTCACAGTGGGTACAGAGCACAGAGATAGAGAGATAGATGATGGATGGATGGATGGATGGATGGATGGATAGATAGATAGATAGATAGATAGATAGATAGATAGATAGATAGATGGATGATACAGACAAGGCACAGCAACCCTCCCTACCCAGGTGTCTGTCCCAGGTGCCACTTGTCAGATGTCAGGGACAAGGGCCCTGCCCTGGAGCTGTCCCCAGGCCCCTTCCTGGCAGTGCCACAATTCCAGCACAGCCTCACTGCACTGCCACAATTCCCACTCACACGGGTTCCCCTGAACCTTTGGAGCAAAGGGCTCAGGGTAATAATTCAATCATTTTTTTGGGGAAAAAAGGAAATATGAAACCAGAGGTTTTGCAAGTCCCAGCTCAAGTGCTGGAACAGCAGATGTGCCTCCACTGCTCCTCTAGAAATAGCAGCTTTCTTCCCAACTCAGAAAAACCACCATGGCACTTTATTTCTAGAGCATGACCACAATTAGTGTGTCCCTTCTGTGGCCAGCTGAAAGAAAAACAATGTCCTAGGGTGACTTGATGATGCTTGTATTCCCAGTCATCTGTAAGCATCACACAAATCATCCTTAGCACCAATTAAACAATCCTGATTCCTGCCCCACGGCTCAGGTGAGGTTGGTACCAGGGTTCACCAGGAGGTGACAGTGCCCAAGGCTCCCCCATGGTCTGCCCAGCAACAGCCTTTCAAATTCCATTAAGGAGACATGATAGCTTCTTGAATTCAAGCTATAATTTTAAATTGTGTGCTAATTTGCATCTTTCTTACCTGCAACATATCTCACTATTGTGAGTATACAAAAGGTATTATCTGATAAAACTGTGTATTTTACACCTTTTTTTTATAAAAGCCTGGAATAAACACAAAATTTGTTTTCTTTCCAAATCTTGGAAAGAAGAAAAAAATTAAACTAAAATTGTGCTAAAAATAGTATAAATATTTATTTTTAGAAAGCACCAAATCAACTTTGTTACACAACTTTGAGCCTGGCAGACTCACACACTGCACCAGCTGGGTGGTACACGGGGCTCCTGGGAGTGCCAACCTTTTTCCTCCCTCTCATGGGGAGCTGGAATCTCACAGCTTCCTTCCCACCCTGCTGAGCAGGACACGGTGTGACACTGGGGTGACACTGGGGTGACACTGGGGTGACACTGGGGTGACAGCACAGACCAGCTGCCTCTCAGGCTGCTCACATCCACCCCAGGCTCAGGCTGCTGAAAGTGCCTGGGCCAAAGGGGTCCCAGCAGTGCCTTGGGGTGCCCCACTGCTCTGCCCTAGGACAGTGCTGTAGGACATGGAGGCCAGTGCTGGGACACCCTTAGAAAGGCAGGAAACTGCAGTTTATGGCAGAGCTGCAGTTTGTGGTTTGCTGTGTGAAAGCAGCTGGGAGCAGCCTGCAGTGTGCCCAGGCAGCCCCAGCCTGGTTCAGAAGGTGCCCCCCAGCCCCAGCCTGGTTCAGAAGGTGCCCCCCAGCCCCAGCCTGGTTCAGAAGGTGCCCCCAGCCCCAGCCTGGTTCAGAAGGTGCCCCCCAGCCCCAGCCTGGTTCAGAAGGTGCCCCCCAGCCCCAGCCTGGTTCAGAAGGTGCCTCCCAGCCCCAGCCTGGTTCAGAAGGTGCCCCCAGCCCGGGCCAGCGGGGCACTCACCCAGCGGCAGGCGCAGCGTGATGTTGTTGCAGAAGTCGGTGTAGCAGCACTCGGTCCGGGTGATGTTCTTGGAGCTGTGGCAGAAGACCTGTGCGTGCAGCTCGGGCAGGGACACGCAGGACTTGACCACCTCCTCGCGCCCGTTGCTCAGCATCACCGAGGCCCAGCAGGCGCCCTCCGTCTGGCACGTGAAGTTGGTGTGCTCGCACAGCTGGCACACGCACTGCAGGCCTGCAAGCGGGGCACAGCTGGGCACAGCTGTCGGGGGCACGCAGAGCCCAGCACAGAGTGCCAGCTGCCTGCCCCGGGCACCCCAGCAGCACGGGCCCCAGCACCCACAGGTGACAAGTGTTTAAACCTCAGCCCCAGGGGATTTTAGAGTTGTCATCTGTCTTTTGTGGTGGAGAAGAATGGCCACCCCAAAAAGCAGCTCCCCTCAAAGCTGGCTCCCAAAACCACGGCACCCCTTGCCTGTCCCTTCACCTGCCCACAGCGGCCACCCCAGCCCAGCTGTGCCAGAGCTGAGTGGGTGACAGCCCCAGCCAGGTGGAACACACAGCGCCCCAGCATGGGCACAGACACAGGGACAGGCTCCTCCTCCTCCTCCTCCCCGTGTGTGCTGAGATGAGGCACCTTGTCCAGGCCGCCTCCAACTCTGCCAGTCTGAGCCCTGCTCTGCTCAGGACAATCACTTCAGCCACAAATCTTTCTGTGAGGGCCTTTCTTTTACCTAAGGATAAGAGAGAGTTGAAAAGTAAAGCATGGGCTACTGGTGGGCTTGCCAGTGCTGGGGGCACAGCTGGGCTCGATGACCTTAGGGGGTTTTCCAGCCTAAACCATTCCACAACTCTGCAATCCCAGAGTACCCAGAGGAGCACAGAAGTCCTGACAGACAGCAGCACAAACCTGATTTCTGTCTCTGTGGCCCTCTTTGCCTCCCTCACCGCAATCCCCATCCTGTGCCACCCTTGTGCAGCGACAGCCGGGGCTGTTTGTGCGCACCCTGGGCCCACAGCAAACCCCCCTGGCACGGTGTCTGTGCTGGGTGAGGCTGTGCCAGCAGGGCACGGGAGCAGGCATCATCCACCACACCCTGCACAGCAGCCAAACCTCTCCCTAAAGACATCACCCTGCTCCTACAACTGCTGCCAGGAGAAAGACTCATCAGACCCAAATAAATTAGAGATCTAGCAGGAGGAAAACAGACACATCATCACCACAACTGCAAAATAAAAGCATTATTGAGGAAATGAGTCTAGGATTGTTGCAAGTGTCTTCGGGGCTTTAGACACGTCATTATGGTGTTTTTCTCCCTTTCTCACAGTCTAAAAATGGAAAATTATCTTTATTACGTCATCTGCAGTGGCTGACTGACAGATTTATCCATGCTCTGTACTGGCAGATTACTTGAGAGCAGAGCTGATCAAAACTGTCCCTGCACATCCTGAGCAGCCCCACAAACATGGGGTGAGTGGAAGATGGCTGGGGAGCTCTGTACCCTCACCCTGACCACACTGAGTGCCATTGCCACAACCACAAGGGCTCTGCACCACCCAATCCTGCCCTCACACAGGGGGAAAATGGAAAACTGTAACTGAATCTGCTCTCTGAGACATGACCAGAGTTGGAGCTGTGGGAAAGACAAGACACTTTCCTCACAGAAGACTGTCAGAGACCCCTTTAAAATGTAATTCTAAAAGCAGAAGCCTCGGGTTGCTCAGACACCTGCCTGTGCTGCTGGCTGACTTCTCGTGCAGAAAAATTGTCAGAAATCACAAACCTGGTGCAAATGCCTGGCCCTGTTTCCAGAGCACTTGTATCCATCCAGAGCCCTTTGTTAACAGAGCAGGAAGGTGATTGAATACAGCCATTGAAACACAGGTTTCTTGCACCTGTGCCACTTCAGCTGCCTCAGCTCTTGTGGACTCAGGGGAGCAGCCTGGGCCCTTTGGCACATTCCCTTGGGAAGATCCAGGAGTTTCCCCCTGCCACCCCACTGGGCAGGGGGTGACAAACCCGGTGTCACAGCCCTGCTGTGCCTCACAGAGCTCCTCACTCACCTGTGCATCCACTGCTGCTCCACGAACCCAGTGTCACAGCCCTGCTGTGCCTCACACAGAGCTCCTCACTCACCTGTGCAACCCCTGCTGCTCAAAGGAGCCCGTGAGGGGGTGACAAACCCGGTGTCACAGCCTTGCTGCACCTCACACACAGCTCCTCACTCATCTGTGCATCCACTGCTGCTCAAAGGAGCCCGTGAGGGGGTGACAAACCCGGTGTCACAGCCCTGCTGTGCCTCACACACAGCTCCCCACACACCTGTGCAACCCCTGCTGCTCCACAAACCCAGTGTCACAGCCCTGCTGTGCCTCACACAGCTCCTCCTGTTCACAGACACCTGTGCAACCCCTGCTGCTCAAAGGAGCCCGTGAGAGGGTGACAAACCCGGTGTCACAGCCCTGCTGTGCCTCACACACAGCTCCCCACACACCTGTGCATCCACTGCTGCTCCAGGGGGGCTGTGTCCCAGCCCTGCTGACATCCTCAGGGACACAGCACTCACCAGAGCTGTGCTTTATCTGTTCTGCTCCATCAGGAGCGCCCCAGGGCTGCTCCTGGTCATTCACAACAGCTCCTTGCACTGCAGAGGAGGTCAGCTCCATGACCAGCCCATCTACAGCCACTGGCCCTGTGTCCCGAGTTTCACCCCACACATCTGGATCATTCCTGCTCTGATTTCCCCCGTGCTGTCCCAGAGGGGCAGCAAGGCACCCCCTCAGCCTGCAGGCCACAGGGGAGCAGCCCAGTGATGGGAGAGCCTCCTCCCACTGCCCAAGCCAGCACCACCCTTGAGCTGCTTCCCTCCCACAGAGCACGAGAGAAGAGGAAGAATTGGCAACTACTGACTGAAATCCTCTATGCAGCAAGAAATGTCTCCTCCCTCCCCAGAGCCATCCCTGAGCACAGTCCTGGCAATGCCATTGGGGATGCTCTGTCTCAGGGCAAAAGTCAGGACTCCCACTCCCTGGAAACCAAGGAATGGAACAAGGTGACTGTCAAAGAGTTAAAGGATTAAAGAGGCAGGCAGAAAATGTGCCCCCAGACTTTCAAAATGAGGCACTCTTAATCTGGTAATGAGCAGGACTCCTTTATTTACTCTAGCACAACAATTCCCTGAAAACATTCCATTCTCTGGTTGAGAAATCAGGAGAAAGTGAACGACTGAGTCACGGCAGGGCTGCAGAGAGCACGGCAGGCATGCAGGCCTGGCCACAGGCTGTGCCAGCCCCCTGAGCATGGAGCTCTGCAGCATCGCTCCCCAGCGTGCCCCGAGCCTCCCCAGAGCCCATCCCCACCCCAGCAGGACCTGGGCTGCCCACCAGGACCGCCTGGAGAGCTGGGCAGGACAGGGACCCCACAGGCTCCCTCTGGCAGGGACAGGAGCCACGGACAGGAGAGGGACAGAGGGACCCCTCCCAGGGCAGCCACAGGGCCCCACAGCAGCAGGAGAACACGAGCTGGCAGAGGGGCACGGGAGATGCCCACCCTGGCACGCAAGGAGAGCAGATTTTGGGTACAGGAGCCAGCCAAGGGGCACAGGAGATGCCCACCCTGGCACACAAGGGGCACGGGAGATGCCACCCTGGCACACAAGGACAGCAGATTTTGGGTACACACACCCCAGGAGCAGAGGTTTCCTGGGTCTGGTGTTTTTAACACATTCATGGTTTTCAAGGACATTTTTCCTGCTGTTATTGCAGTAGGAGCTGGGACTACACGCCAGATTCTTGGATGAGTCCCACCATGCATCAAGGGCAGGATGACTTGGTGTTCAAAGAAGAAAATAATCTGCCTGACTTCCCCAAAAAGCGACATTTCCTGCCTGTTAGCTCTCAGTGCCACTGCCAGAAAACACAGGACAGGCTGACATGCCCTGCAGTGAGCCTTGGAGCAGCACCTGATGCCCAGCAAACACAGGAGATGGGTTTGTGTGCTTCCAGCCCCTGGCCACCGAGTGTCAGCCTCAAGCACAGAATCACCGATAGCTGAGGAGCAAGAGTCACACTGCAGGGCAGCAAGGGATGGGAGAACAGGGCTTCAAACACCAGCTTCGTGAAGACAACAAATAATTGAAACACATTCATAGTGCAACTTCGAAAGTTAAATGGAAGGAGCTGAACACTTAACACAAGCCCACATACCATGGGGCTAACAGAAAACTAAAGGCTAAAACTCTGTTTTTAACTGAGATTTTTAACTAAAATCTCTGGGGGAGCAAAGCCCAGACCTGCCCTCTCTTATGAGCCACACAAGATTCTACATCTCAGCACAAACTTTTTACTACACAGATTAACAGGGCACTAATCTTCCACAAAGTCATAATCCATCACTACTCACCACAGCTAGCAGTAGAGCATTTCAAAATTAAATTGGAAAGCAAAGATCTAAGTGGCCTGATGGGAGGAAATGCTGAATATCCAGAACATTTCCATCTTTGATCATTTTTTATGGTCATTGTCTATTGTGCCCTTCTAGATACACTTTGATTTTATTTCCAAGTAACAGAGCTGGGGCTCCCATGACTGTGGGCTCTCCACAGGGGCTGGATCCCCTGCCCCAGGCACCGACCCCAGGGCCAGGACACAGCTGCCCCTGGCACCTCCATCCCTGGGCAGGGATGCTTCTCACCACAGCACACACACCCAGACCTGACTGACCGGGCTCAGAAGGGGCCCAGCTGACAAAAGTTTCACTGTGGGACAAAGGGGCTCAAAGGAGATCCTAAAAATTACAGCCGGGCTGTTTCCCATGGTCCAGCCCCGTGCTGGTGACGGAGCCAGGACAAGAAGTCCCAGTAAAGGTGGTGTGGGGAGGGCGTGGGTCTAGCACAGCCCTTGCTCTCCAGCCACACAATTGCTGGGAACTGACCACGGCAGGGAAACTCTGCTGGCAGAGAAGCTCAGCCTGCTGCGCTGGGGCAGAGGAGCAGCAGCTGGGGCTGGGCAGGAGCAGCAGCTGGGGCTGGGGCAGGAGCAGCAGCTGGGGCTGGGGCAGGAGCAGCAGCTGGGGCTGGGGCTGCTGGGCTGTGTCAGAGAGGAGCAGCAGCTCATCCTGCCGGGCTGTGGAAGGAGCAGCATTAACTCACCCACCGGGCTGTGGCCCCAGGGC